CAGTCGGAGCATCCGCAGGGGAGCCAAGAGTTTTTGCTTTTGCCTCAGCTTTCCTTTTTAACAAATTGTCTTGTTCAAAAGTTTTTTTCTTCAACCCACAAAAGAATGCAAAAATGAAAAAAAAAAGTAAGAAGAACATCGAATGAGATAAAAAGTGACGGGAAAAATGTTGAGAAATGCTTTTTGCTCTGATAAGAGAGAATTTGCTGGCTATTAGTATTTAAAGCATCAGGTCATTTATATTCATTTGACTGCAAAAATGTACTGGAATGGGTGGGAGGCATTGAGGAGCAAGTGTTGATGGATAATCTTAATATCCTTGGAGTGGACAAGCCAACAAAAAGGACCAAAGAACAGATAAATGCCTCAAAGGAAGATGTCTTGAAGTTTGCTGGTATAATGGACATCGTTTCTGGGCAATAAAAGTGGCTTATAAATGCTTGATTTAAATTGGATTGAAAAGTTAAAGTTGACAAACTGTTAGTTGGCAATTTAACATATTTAATCTATAGAAAAGCTCCTTAGAAGGTTGTTTTCCATAGTATTTCTCCTTTTAAGTAGTGATTAGATATACAAAAATATAAAAGAAATACACAAAGACTAAAATATTAAGATATATATACTACAATCTCAGCTAGAATACTAATACTTTCTGTAAACATCTCGTACTCTTCGAAAGGTCAAACGGTTATTATTCAAATTGGTTTCCAAGTAACTTTTGACCCTGATAAACTTCATGTATCCGTATTAATTTAATATGTCAATAGATTTCCCAACGCATTTCATCCCATCAAACCTGGGCAGTTATTTCCCTGAGAAGACCCACTTCAATTTTTGATGGCCAGCCGTAAGTTTGCGAACCATTTTTGAGTGCTGCTGTTTGGCAGTTCCTTTTCCTTTTCCAATTTTATGCAAATTTCTTCTTGTTGCCGTATTTTACGAGTTTTTCGGGTTCCTCGTTGTCGTCAAGTGGTAAATCACTTATTTGAATAAGTCAATTCCATTTCATTCCAGTCGTCCCTTTTTTCCAGGATCCGAGGGACCCACATTAAACATCAATCTTTATGAGAGGCGGTGGGAGTTTCGGAAAGCAGCCTCAGCTGCAAAATAGTGAAAGCCGCTTTAGGGAGGAAAATTCTATTAAAATATTTATGCAAATGCAACAAAAAAAATCTACAAGTGAAAAGCTCTCGATCTGCTTCCCGCACTCTTTCCCCTATTTTCCCATCCACTTTCCCGCTACTGCTGCGTATCTGCGTGAAAAATGTTGAACAAACGATTTTCATAATCGATTTTCATGTCTGCCACGGCAAGGCCTCAATGGCGGTTGACAAGGGAGCAGGGGGCGTGGCTGGGTGGAACGCTTGTCAACCTTTATCAAAAAAGGGACATACAAGAGTCCCGGGTTGGCGGCGGGAAAGCCCCCAACGCCAAGCCAATACGAACAACACACCCCCAAAAATCCAAGGAAAAGCAGAGACAAATGCGATGTGCGTCTGTTGACAATATATCAACATGTGGCCAAGGACAGGGACAATCAGGCAAGGAAAGCAACGGGGATATGCAAAAGACCAGCGACTTTCCAGCATTTTCCCAGCTTTCCTTTAAGCTGCACCCGGAACCTATATCGGAGGCAAACAGAAAAGGAGATTGAGTCCACTAGTATTTCCTACTTCGCAGGTCGCCCGAGCGCATCTAATCGATTCGCTTGAAGGATGAAAAGCGGTGAGGAAAAGCTAAACTCTAAACTACACGGAGGAAAAATAGAAGTTAAAAATCAAAAAATGCGTGAAACAAAGAGGTTTCTTTCAGAGCTTCTACTAACTATTGCAAATTCCAAGTAACTTTATAAACATTCACCTCCGTTTTTCTTCTTAGTGTAGCCTTACTACTAGATATTGTTTTCTACTCGTTGTTGCTTTTTCCTGCCCAACTTCAACTTCTCAATGGGCTTGTAACCCATTGAGTGGGTGTATCGCATGTGACAATAGTTGTGTGAACTTTACAGGACGAAGATTAAGGACCAAAGACCGAAGGATCCAAGAAGCATTGGTAGCACCATGGCAGGGATGAAGTCAAGTGAAGAGGAGGATGACGAAGAGGAGGAGAAGGAGGATGACTGTGAGCCGACTTAAGGCTTAACAAGTGAGTGAGTGCCACCAGTTGGACTTTGCCGTCTGGCACTTGGCGAGTGTTTAAATCATGGTCCTCAGTCGGCTTCCTTCTTGAACTGCAACTGCTGACGGGGCCAAAGGCCTCGGCTGAGTGATGGTTTGTTTTTGTTAGCAAAAGACCGTAAAAACTTTAAAAAGATCTTTCATCACCGTTTTCATCAGCCATCTGGGAATATGCGGTGCATGGTAAATGGACCTCGAGTTGTTTATTGGATGCTCTGCGGTGGTTTCGTTCTCAGCAATTAAATGATAAATATACATCAGAGTTAATTTATTGCGGGATAACCAACTGGCATACTTAAGAATGTGCTGTGTTAAAGGTTAAAATTTAAGAATATTTTTTGGTGAAATTCTAAGTTAGTTCATGGCAAGGTTATAAGGTTAAAAATTCAGGAGAGAAAAGGATACTTGGATACTTATAAATTTTTGTTTTTAAGCTAATAATATTTATATCAAAACTTTGTTTTTTAAAGGTTTTAAACACTGTAAAGTTAAGAAAGCGTAAAAGAATAAAGAACTTAGAGGCTCTTTAAAATCCTGTAGAAAATATATTTTAAGTTTGTAATTTAAACTTCTTAGAATCTTAGATTTCCCATTCAAATTAATATTTAAACTGTTTGTTCTTAACTTTTACCTTTAAATATCTTAAAAGAAAGCGTTTCAAGTTTCATTTTCCACATTTTACAAGCACTTCCTATCTCCTGGAACTTTTCCTGGCCGCCGTTAATTACCAAAAGCTGAATTTGAAGCTACAATTTTGCCGTTTATCTTTGACAGGCAACCTGCCACAGGAGAGTCAGGGAGGGGGACAGATGGTTTGGATAAATGAGGCGTCACAGTAGGAGGCATTTCTATAGAATGTGTATTACATAATGAAACGCTGATAAATTAAACAGATTTGTTAGACGCCATCTCGCCAGTCGGCTGTCGCCTTTGCCTTCGGCGATTTCCATCAGCCAGCCATACCCAGACCACCTAATCCTTCTTGATTTCAGCTTAAGGAACCCACAGGACAGGATGGGTATCCTTGTTAAGCTCGAGACCACATGCCGCGCGCGGGTGATGGCGATATTGGCTGGCGGTTTCAGTGGTTCCGGATGGGTGGTTCCGTGGGTTTGCCTGCAGCTAAGCTGATTGCGTTTCGTCAAAATTCTGATGTACGTTCGCGTGTATCGATTTGCACAAAAGCGACCCTTTGAAGCAATATATCCCTTGGCTGGGCTGGGGGGGCTGCCTCCCTCGTCCCTGCGGTTCCATCCAAACCCCCCCTAACATGCCTTAATCTAAACGAAAGCGTATGATATTTCATTTAATTAAATCCTTTTTGATGTTCCTGTGAGTGAGAGAGGCTTTTGCAAAAGGCTTTTCTCATATTAATTAAGTGCCGGATTCAATTAGAATCTCGGTTAGGGATATCCTTGAAGTGGTTGTCCCTTCGCTTGACTATAATTATGCCAAGCAGTCAACGAACCAAAAGCGGAAGTAGAAAAGTTTCCCCTTTGTGGCCAACTGTACCCAATAGGTTTACAGTATTCCGCTCACATTTGCCATTCATAATTTAACTAAGAAACGAAGGCAAGACAGAAAGTTAAGCAAATAAAAAACAATCAGAGACAATGCAGAATGATAAAAAATAAAATATAACAGAAAAATGTTGGTCACGTAACCTCGTTGTTTGCCAACTCCCACGAAAAACCCCAACAAGTTCGCTTCTCTGATTAAAAAGTTGAGCACAAGAATATTTTTGCATTATAGGCGAAAAGATCCTCGGCAAGGACCTGCACTCGCCTTTGGGGTAATTTATAAGCCAAGCCACACAAACACTCGACGCGAGAACTCAGCTCTCGACACGATTCTCTCCTCCCCCCTTCTCAACCCAGCCGTTCGCAGTTCTCAATTCTCCAAGTTCTCTCCACCACTGTTTCTCACAGAGTTCTCCTCAAAATTTTACGCGCCTTGACTGCTAAAGTGGGCGCCGAAGGGGGCGTGGCAGGACCTACTCTCTTGTTTTTTTGTTTTTTGGTCTTTGTCACAGTCAGGGACAACGTCGTCTGGGTCTTTTGCATGTGGGAGGGGGGAGGGCGATGTCAGTCCACCATGGAAGAATGCTAGAAATAAAGACCGTAAGGGGGTGGCATTGTTAACAGGCAGACTTGAATTACAAATTCAGCACAATGTCCTTTTGTCATTTATGCATTTCGCTGTATAAATTAAGCACAATGAATAGAAACGGCCGCAGGAGCTTTCAGTTTTTCCCCCCCAGTTTTTCTTCCTTTATATAAAAATAGAGGTAAACGGTGGTTGGAGATTAATAAGCCTAGTCCTGCGGTTTTGCATGCCCACATGGTAGTAACTTAAAATCTCTGGCTGAGATTTGCAAAAAGCACAACACATGCTATCTTAATGCTGGGATCAGGAGCACGACTTTAGGAGGTCCCACGAACCTAAAATGGGAGATGAAAGTTTAAGGGGGAAACCCATTGTTGGCTAATATGGGAGTTCATCAACAAGATTCACATCAACAGATTACATTTTGAATGTGGGTAAGTTTGTGCTTTATGTTAATGTTAGTTTTTTAGTTTAAATTTGAATTAAAAGAGATTATTCTGAAGGAACATGGCAATGGTACAAATATTGCGTTTTTAAGAGGGAGAAAGTGTCCTTAATCGCAATAAATAATACTTAAAGGACATCAAAAATTGATTAAGTAATTACATAACTACTAACTTGGGTAAAACGGATGAACTAACTTATTCTTTTTACCTCTTTTTCAGGCGGCAGTGGCAGCGGTGGAGGAGGTGGCGGCGGAGGAGGCGGCGGCGGAGGTGGTGGCAGTGGCAGTTCCTCGGACGTGTCCAGAGATCACTGCAACAAGACGGTGGACATTTTCGAGGACATCAGCTCCCCGGAGGTCAGCAATCAGAACGTGGGTCGTCCGCTGACCTGTTGGTACCGCTTCCGAACTCTGAAAGGAGCGCCCCGCGACTTTGTGCTGCGTCTGCGTTTCAAGAAGTTCAAAGTGGGTCAGCTGATGAATGCGACACATTGCGAGGGCGGCTATTTGCAGGTGGGTGTGGCCGTCACTGGGCCGAGTCTTGATTTATCTCCGCAGAATGTCGGCGGGAGCTAATTTATATCGCCAGGCTAAGCGATGACATATGCGACATACTAAATCGAGTTCTTGTGCTCGCACACCCATTGTTGCAGATTGTTGATGGCAATGCCAAGACGGATGTCTCGAATCGCCGGGAGCCGGGAATGTTTTGTGGAGAGGCGGAACAGCCGCAGACATTCATCAGCGAGACCAGCTATGTGAAGGTCCTCTTCCACACGGACAACTTTACGGATCAGGTGAGCCCCAGCACAGGCAGGACACTTTCTTTCTTTCGTCATCTCAGGCGGAGAGATCTCTCGGTGGGACTTTTCATTTTTGTGCCAGCCAGCCAGGAGAGAATTCCAATTACTGCCGGGGCAACAAAGACAGGCATCCTTGAAGTCCTGCCGTCTGTTGTCTTCTGTCGCCAGCGTCTTGCCACTTACACTAATAAACAAAGGTCCCCTTGTCCTGGTTCCATGCATATTTCTAGGGCTTTAGATATATATCTGCACGCGGAAAAATTAGATTTGAGTTCTGAGTGAGTTTTGGAAAATTTGAATTTAGAAAGGAGAAAGGAAACGTTTGAATAAATTACTAAAAAGGGATTCTAAAACTGAAAAGTTCATTTAAATCACCTAAAATAAGGTTAATAATATTCTTTAATAAAAAAAGCAATAAATTTGTATATTTTTAATAGACTTTATTTCCCTCAGTGTACGTATATAAATGTCTGTATATTTATATTTATCACATAATTTAAGGAAAATATTACAGCACACCAGTCTTGGCAGCCTGTCTTCGCCCTTTTCACTCCTGACAACCTCCCCCTCTGCTCCCTGCAAGCACGCTCCTCTATGAGCCGCCTTTCCGCATTTCCCATTTCCCAGTGCGACCCGTCCCATTTGCTCCCTGTTGGCTTGGCTGCTTCCATGTCCTGACCCGTGTTGCTCTATCTGCTCGGTTGCATCTATGCAACTCACTTTCGCACTTAGCGAGAGTTATACACACAGATACTCCTCCTGTGTGTGTTTGTGTGTGTGTGTGTCGGTGCTTTATTTTTTCTATTTTCCCTTATATTTATTTTTCCCCTTTTCTGTATTTTTGCATGCATTATTCAGGAGTGGGTCGAGCGTCTATGGCGTGGGTGGACTGCACTGTTGTCTGGCCTCCGTCTGTCGGCGTGTCCTGCGTCCTGTCTCCTGCATCCTTTTTGGCTGGCTGGCGCCGTCAGTCTCCTCCTGCTGATATATATATATATATATATACAGCAGATTATATATATAGACGCATATCTATGTGAATTTTCAGTTCACAACTTGAATTCTATTTAGCTTTGCCCCCGTTCGCTTTTCGTTGCTATTTTCCTCTGATTTTCCTGACTATTTTTCTTATTTTTTGTATTTTTGTTTTCCTTTTTTGTCAACTGCTTGGCTGCTGCGTTTTTGATGCGGTATTTGCATTTATAAAATGAAAGATAAGTTCTTTATGTCACATAAAGAATTTCAATATTTATAATGGAGATTTTTTGTCGTGAGGGCGGAAGGAAGACTCTTGAAATATGCATGCCCTGCAAATGGTAACAGATGGAGGGAAATTATCCCCAAAAGAAATAAGACAATAAAGCGTGTTATTAGACGGGCAAGTGGCAGAAAGAGTAATAACTTTTTTCTTGGTTAGCATTTCAGAGGGAAAATGTGTCAGGGAAATAGTTAGCTTACATCTAAGGGGGATAGGAGCTGTCACAATAAGTAAGCAAAGGGAACTTTAAGGCTAAAGGTCACTGAATACATTTTCCATTCTATTGTTTCTCCCTCCCAAGAATAATTGACCAAATTTTCTATGAACTCCAACTATCTTCGCCCAGAAGCATGGCTGTGTTTGCACTTGCCAATCGCCAAACCAATTTCAAACCTGACACATTCCATCGTAATGCTATAACCTTCAAAATCACATCCCATCGAATATCCATAACTCTATTCAAGCCTTCCTGTTCCATTCAATCCCAAAGTCAAATAGTTGCCCCCTCTTTTCGCAGTGCGTAGTCAATGCAGGCGATTGGCTTTATGGCCCGGCTTACAACAAGTTGCAGGGATGTGCAAACACAAACAACCGACTAAAGCCATGAATGAGTGCTCCAAGCTCCGAGCTCGGAGCTCCAGAGCTCCAGAGCTCCGGACTCCGTGACAGACAAACTGGGAGGGGTGGCAAAATGCGGGGTCTCCTCTGGCAGGACAGGACACCCTCCAGAGTGTGTCTTATGCACACCTTAATGGAGTCATAAATATTTATGAAAACTCTCCAAGCTCGCTGGAAGTTGCAAGTTGAAAGTTGGCGGATGCTGCGCTTTGTGTTTTTTCTTTCATATTTTCCTTCTTTTTGTTTTTCCGTTAAGCAGACGGGAACTTTTTGCCACTTATTCGGCGCGAGTGCGTCGGATTGGCGGGGGGATAGAGGGCGAGGGGCCAAAGGGGACTTTATTCAGTAATAAATAAAAATAAGCGACAGCTCTGGCAATGTAATAACACGATTTAATGAGGGACAAGACAGGATCGCCCAGCGGCGGCGGCAGAGGAAACGAAATAATTTCGCATTCGCATTAACATAAATTCCATGCGAAATAAATCAAAAATAATTTCACAAAAACGGGACGCCAAAGAGCAGGCGGCAACAAATCAGTTTGAAATTTTAATTTATTCGAGCGCAAATTTGTCAGGACATTAACGGTAGGACGACCGTGGAGGACATCATCGGCATAATCTCCGCCGCCATCATAATTATCGCCATCATCAAGCGAATCGGGATCAGCGGAGCTCCGCTTTTGGAAATATTCAATGCATTCTGAAACTGCACAGAGAGAAAATAAGACAAGAATAAATAAAATATTTTCATCTTAAATGTTGTAGAATAAAAAAGAAAGAAAAATCCAAAAAGTTTGCAGAACTTTCTTAAAGAATCCCAAAACTCGAAAGTTTCAGTCACAGAATGAACTTTTGTAATAAAATCCTAAGCATTTTTCTCTCAGTGTAAACTCCTCTATATGCGTATCGGTAGCTAGTAGGTATATATATATATACGTTCAGACAGAGGACTGCAGCTTTTGGGAGATATTTTTGGGGTGGCACGAGCGGATGGGTATCCACGTGAGCAGCATCTGGATAAATCGAAACGAGCCTGCGTCTGCCATTGTTCACATCGTTAAGTGGCGCTAACGTCATTGACGCCGGTAACGCATTTAATATTGACATGTGCATTACGCCCCTCCCCCCGCAGAATTTCCACCACACCCAGCCAAAATCCTTTTCCACTCCCCTGGCGCTATCCTCCTGAAAGATCCCCAATGGAAAATGGCCAACGAGGTTTATGTGGCCTTCAAGGCCGGTGGAGCGAGCGATTTGGTAACGGAATGGGTTTTGGGGGAACAAGGTGTATTGATAACCGTGACGTTGACTTTGTGGCAGGTGGAAATGGGGCGGGGCGTAAGGAAATCGCTTTTGCGGCTTGTCTGTCGATAATTTCGACTTCGATATCCGTAATTGAAATGAATGTATTTTTTGGGGGAGGAAGGGGAAAGGGGCGGCAGGCGCAGCATGAATTCGATTGGCAACTGAATCGAATCAAAGCTCACAAATTGGCAATAATCATTGCTTTTGTTTAGCTTATCAAATTGGTAAACGTTGCGGAACAAATCGTGTTTGCTAGTTTGAATAACTAGTGCTAAATGTGCTTTATTGAGCTAAATAGCCACTTATTAAAAATGTACGCCAATTTGTGAATACATTTTGGAAAATTGCTTGAATTGTACTAGTTTCAGTTTATATTTCTATTTAAAATGCATCAAATTCAACTTTAAATAGGCTTACTATCTTTAAAGTTGTTAAATTTGTTAAAGTTTTATTAATGAGAATATCTTCTTTCGATCTGTTTATCTTAAAGAAAGCTCTTACTTAAGCAATTCAAATTAAATAGTAAATATTTAACATATTACAGCTTCTTTAAAAACTTTTAGCAGCCGCGTTAAAGACAAGGCGTACATAATAAAGGAACTGCCTTCAATTATTTTTAACCATTATTATTCTGAAATATATTTTTCTCGGGCTTCTTGGTTCGTTACCCTTTTGTAACCCCTGGATTTTTTCTCCATTCTGCCTTCGTTTCTTTTGGCCATATCCAGCTGTGTGTGTGTGGGCGGTTGTGGTATGCCTGTGCTGTAGGGGGCGTGGCAGCTGCCTACGTCACTGCAGCACGTCATTAGCGCTGATGAGGCAACGGCAACCGTTGCAAGGGAACAACAGGCAAACAGGATGGCAGAGGCTCAGGGAAAACTCGGAGGGGACTTGTCGGTGGGCGTTGGTGGCAGGGCAAATGACATTGCACATTTCCATGTGGCAGGCCATGGAATGAAAACCGGGCGGAAAAGTGGGCGTGGGCGTGGTCGAGGGTGAAACACGCAATTGTCTGACGTCGGGCCAAGCTGGAGGGAAATTGACAAAATTCATCAGTGACAATGGGAGATGGGAGGAGAAGCTGCAGCAGGGCTGCTCCCCCCTCGCACACACAGACACACACTGCGTATACGTGATTTTCTGCCATTGTCCACTCATCCCGCACTTTTCTCTTATATCTACCAATTGCAGACCTACTTCACATTCGATTCACGCGCGGAACAGCAAACGGAAGTCTATCTGCGATATGGCCAACATCCGGAATTATATCCAAATCGTCGCGGCGAAGTTGTCCAAGGGTGAGTAAATGGCTTACCAAGTATCGGGGTAATCGAATGGGTTTCCAAAAGAGGCTCCCTTTTGGGGACTTCATTCTTTTTTTATATGCCCAACGTTAATTCAATTTTATTACCGAAAAATATTGAACTAGGAGAAGGGTGGTGGTTGCTGGGCGCAGATATTTTTGACAGGCCACTTCAGACGAGGTCCTTGTCTTCGAACCGAAGCTGGCACATTTCATAATCATACACGAGTCAGAAAACAGCAGAGAAAATCCGGCAACAGAAGGTCGCATTAAATTGAATTACTTGTGCTTTCTGCACTGCGGCAAACATCAAATTCGCGAGCGGGAAATCGAGGGGGATTTACGCCTGAAGGATGGCTGAAAAAGTCGGCAATTGAAACCGAAGAGAAGAATTCATTTCGTTGGGCATAGCCTCCTACCTACCACCACCCCTGAAACCCTGACAAAAGTAAAACTTTGCAGACATTAAATTTTATTTGATTCTCTTTTTTGGAGTTCTTTGATTTTTTGTTTTACTTTCTCTCTGCCAGTCTAACTTTTATCTTAATAAAATAAGTTGCAAGTTTTAAGCAAAGATTTGGCTGCAAGTAACGAGGCGGGGAGGACTATGCTAGATTTACTCAGATGATATTTGTGCATATGCATGCAGATGGTTGGAAACGAGAAAAGTCTGCGAATACAAACTTTCCAAGTAGGCATTTTCTCAAATAACTTGCCATTGCAGATGATACTTGAAAGGCCAGGCAAAACGAAGGCAATCCAACGCAGAAGCTGTTATTAATTTCTTTTTAAATTGTTGGATAAAAATGGTTTGAGCAGAAATCTTGAAATAAATAAAAATAGTTATTTGCAGACATGAACTTACTATAAAATGTGGCCATGTTGAAAAAGGAGGCAACAAGAAGTATGAATAATTTGAGAGCATGTAAAGCTATCAGTTTTCTGCACGAACTAAATCATCAAAATTGTAAGTTGGGGCAAGGAAAAGCTCATTGAAAATAATTTGAATGGAACTGAAGCAAAAAATCACTCAAAAATAAGCATTGAGAAATAAAATAAAATCATTTAATTGTTGGCCACAGCAAAATTACAGAACTTCATCATTCAAGGACTCTTACTGACTTAACTGGCAATGAGTGCTGGCTCTTTAAGAACCCATCAAAGGCGACCATGGGGGGGCAATCCTCCTTTGGGGCTAGAGGATTCCCCCTTCTTATCACCCACATGGCCAATATGATTTTTATGCTAATTTTGCGGTCACGCGCGCCTCGGCACCAAAGCCAAAACCCAAAAGCAATTGAGGAGCCAAACCAAAGCAAATTGCCAAAGACAAAGAGTAGAGAGATAGGGCCAAAAGGACGAGATTCAGCGAGAAAAGGGAATAAAAATGGTAATCATATTTACGCTAGCCTCGCCCTTCAATGATTTTCCGTTTGTTTTACTTAAACAAATTGAAAATTATACGCAGCCAAAATTTTACACAATCTTTTGTTGTAATTTAACAACAATTTTACAAGCTCGCAAAACAGAAACAAAAAAATGAACGCACATTTGTTGGAGGGAAAATGGTGAGCGGGGGGTGGAACAGGAATTTCCAAATCAGTGAACACAATTTTCTGGCTTCCTTGACGCAGTCGAAGGACTGGGCAAACGAACCCGAAAACTTCCATGGATCATTTAGGACGCCTTCTGGTGAAAGCATTTATTTGTCGGAGGGGAAGCTGAGTGATATAACCAATTTGAAACAAATTAAATTAAATATTGTCATGCCTCTAATTCAATGATTTTCTATATATATTATATATATGTATCTTTCAGATCTTATTGTGAGAGGGAGTATCGGGATTGCCGCCTGCAGACCTGCTACGTCCAATCGCCTGCATATCCTGGCCTATATCCTCGGGCCCTGAACTGCCGCTATAAGTTGCACACCCGCCAGCCGTACATTAAATTGTATCTGCAGAACGAACAGTTTGCCGTGGATGGTCAGAGGTGAGTTGGCTTCAATAACACATTTAATAATAATGGTTTTTTATGGCTCATAATTTGATTAACGATTATGTGTTTATGTTAATTTAATACAAGCAAAAACTATGAAAATTGGATTAGCATTAGAGAGAAAATTGCAACATCAGCGTTCTTCGCAAAAATTGGCACCAATTTGCTGGAAAACGTTGGCGACATGTCCTCAGCTTGCAATCTGTATCCCCCCGTATCTGTATGCGTCACTCTACCAACCAGAATCCGAATCCGAATCTGTATCTGTATCTGTGACTCTGGCCCGACGTCTCTGCTTCTGTCACTGTGTTTGTGCCTGGGAAAATTGGCTAAAGGATTACGCTTTGAGTGAGGTTGCCCTCGATTGTGGCGGAAAAACACGAAGGGGGCGAGAAAATGCTCGCAGTCATGGCTGTCTTCTATTATTAATGCCAAAATGATGAAATTGTCTGAGGAGAGAAGCGAATTTACCCACCTTTGAAGTCATCTTTTTCTCTGATTTCTTTAATATTCAAATTTTGAAGGTTTTTTAGCTTTTTGGAGATTTGCTTAGAACCGTTATATACAGAGGGAAAGACTTCAATGATTTTTCCAAGCTTCTCTCCATATTCTCCACCTTTTACCAAACTGAAACAGTTTTTCTTCTACTTTCTACTAGCAAGAATCACCCTTTGAAACCTTTCTTTTTTGTTAATTCCTTTAAGTTTCCGTTTAAAGAAACTTTTAACATCAAACAATATGTTTCGGTTCAGAAAGTCTCCCTTGGCCATTTAGGCAAACTCATTTGCCGGCCCACCTGGCCAACCTTTTTTGGGCTTAAATCAGAACTTTAATATTTCATTACCAAGCACCCATCTCCAGCCAAGTGGGCATAATTCCCCTTGGAATCGGGCAGCTCTACTTTGTCGCGACAAATACAATTTACATTTGCTTAACCGAAATGACCTTTCACAAAATATTTGCTTTATCATGAACTCGGGGTAATGAGAGGATGGGGTCAAAGCGCCTTACTGCTCCTTGGTCGACCTCCTGCCGTTGGGGATTTTATGGCTGGGTGGGAAAAACCTTCAGCTTTTAACACTTTGCACATTCCCAGCACAAATGGCCTGGCCGGCAGAAGTGGCCGAGTATCTTTAAGCTTGTTTGATGTGCAAATTCTGGAGTCAGCATATTTCCCCTGGACCTCATCCCTTTCCAGCTGCGATTCCTCAGCCCAGCACGTGCACATCAGGCAAAAGCAAGTTGGAATTAGATAAGCAACATTCAATTTATTTTTATAGATTCAATTTGAATATTTACCTTTTGAAAAGTCCGATGGCAGGGACACGAGAAGCTAAAAACGACAGACGCATGTCAAAGTTGCCAACTTTGAGTTGGGTTCTCGCAATGAGGGAAGGAGTAAAAACTCGAGCTTCAATCCCTCTAAAGTGTGTATTAATTTGCAAGTCTAAGTTACTTTCGGTCTGCAGGAAAGGATTAGACAAACAGACCTTTGCCAAGGAGCTAATCATGGTGGTGGAGAGCTTACCTTCTAAATACCTTTCCAGGGACTGGGAAGGCTGTTTACTTGGAAACGAAATCGAAATATTATCCCAAAATAGAAATTTCTTCAATAAACTTTTAATCATAAAAGAGATTTTTTTGGACGGTAAACAAGCAGAAAATATCTAGTTACAATTTCAATAATCAAATATTGGAGTTTTTGCCAATAAGACAACTCTCGCAACCTAAACAATCAACATAATCCGTCTAAGCCTTGTATAAATCTGCCATAAATCCAGTTCATAAAACCCGACCTGTTCGCCAGATCCATTCATGGGTTCGGAAGCGAACGAAGTTGATGCCAAGTCAGCAGAAAGTTCCTCTCGTGTTGCCGCTATTTTATAAATCACTTCAGTTTATTGCACAGCTCCTTTGGCTGTCAAAAAATACAACCCACAACAGCATTCCTAATTTCTTTTGGCTATACGAGTACGAGTACTCTCGGTATACCAAAAATATTTCTGCCATCACAGCAGAAAAATTCAGTCGGCAAAACTTCGACGGCCGGATGCCAAACAAATGCAAAAGTCATCGAGTAAAAAAGTTTTTTAATATGCCAAAATTATTACCAGTCAGTTGATGTTTTTTTTTTGTGCCTCGCTTTTCTTTTCTTTATTTTTATTCTCTTTTTTTTTTGATATGTGTGCTGTTTGTGGGTGGTGGAAAAAAGTTTTACCACCCAGACTAAACAGTCATTTGCCCTGTCCCCATCTTTGTAATCAACTTTCTGGCCAACAACGCATTTATTATCAATAAGTTGGATTAGCTCTTCGCAGACTCGAAGGAGAAAAACTTGCTGACAAAGTGATTAAATTGACTGAAACGAACCGACTAGCTAATAGAAATCTATCTATCTGCTGAGTATAGATGGATATAGATACAAAAGTTGGTCAAAAGTTTCTTTCCCAAAAAAACTTTCAGCGATTGGTCAAAAAAAAATCTAAAGGAAAAGGAAAGTCCAGGGAATGTCGAGAAAGCAAAAAGGCTCAATGGAACTGTCAATTAAATTGCTATTTTTGTTTCACTGGCCGAATCACATTCAACTGCCTGGCTTTTGGCTTTGACTCACTGACTCGGTCTCTATTTGATTAAAGTTCAGTTGGTAATTGCCAAAGTTAGCTTTCAATTAGAAAGTTCACTCGCATAGGTGAGAGAGGCATTTCATTTGCCTTTTGAACAGCCCACCAATCAGTCTGCTCCACCAGGGGCAAGTGAAATTGTGAATCCCCGTCAACGTGGCCATCATCAATGGGCACGGGCACAAAGGTCACTTTGTCTGACTCCCCTCCTGGTGGTTCAGGAGTGCCAGGAGTCAGGGTTATATGGAATCCGACCAGACGGCCAGCAAACCAGCAAAAAATTAAAAGCATCCTCGACCGTCTGACGCAAGAAATTAGAAAAGGCTTCAAAACAGACGCTTTGGATTTTCCGTTGCCTTTTTTCCATCTTTTTTTCTGTGAGAACTTTCTTCTTCTTTTTTTTTGCCCAGTTTCCTCGGGCTGGCAAAGTGCAAATGAATGTCATGACCATGGGCGGCGGGGCACTTAAGTTATGAAGCTCACAAATCATTTATTCAAGTCCATTCTAAAAGCATTTGTAGAAAAGAGAGAAGTCACCAGACTAATCCCTCAAAGTTCGTTAAGAAATATTTACATTTTAAGTTATAAACAAAGTTTTATAAATTACAAAAGAATTCAATTCAATTTTAGTTCAGACAATTAGGTAAGTGATTTATGTTTTGTCAAGTAACTGAAAAGGAATAGGTTTATCTTATTGATTATTTTTAAACCAGCTTTGAAGTTCTTTGACTTAATTAGTTCATCTTCTTTCCCAATCTCATCTTGAGACAACTTCAAATACTCAATCTGAAGACTTTTTGATTCAAAGTAATTTGATTTTTTATATTAAATAATGATTTTAAATACAACCTTATCCTTTGTTTAAAAGCCAACTCTGTGTTTGCATTTTCACATGAAAATCAGTTAACGCCAAAGGTTTTTTATCCCTCCTTTTGACCACGCCCCTGTTTCACCAGCATTTTTTCACGGATTTCCGCCAGGCACTAAAAGCATCAGCACTCAGTCAGTTATTCAATTGCCAGCCTTACTCTTTATTCCGTTTTGCCTTTTTTGCCTTTTATTTTCTTGGTTATTTGTGGAACGTGAGTTTTTTAATTGTTCAGTTTTTCACAATTTTTTATTGAATTGTCGGGGGGCGTTGGATAAATTAAATTTACCCTTTCAACGCTTTCATAAATGTAACAAAGAAGCCAGCAATCAAAGTGAGTGTTCTCCATTGCAGATGCGAGAATGTGATGACCTGCCCGATCAGGCCAATTGGATCTGGTAATGAGCACTGTCCTTATGACTGGCTAGCCGTCTACGATGGCCGCGATGAGCACTCCCCGCTGATTGGAAAGTTCTGCGGTCTGGGCAAGTTCCCATTCAGTATAATTGGTGAGTAACCGGACGAGAGGAGAGGAGCTCCAGCCATCTAAACAATTTGCATATCCGCCAGGTACATCACAATACATGTATGTGGAGTTTGTGACGTCGCCGGCGGGTCCGTTGCTCAATACGGGCTTCCATTTCAACGTTGGCAACTGGCCAGGACATGTGGAGACGGCCGGGATCAAGCACGGCGTCTGCGACTGGCTACTGAGCTCTGACTCTTTAAAGGACAGCAGCGCCAGCGAGGGCATCTTCCTCAGCATCGCCCACTGGTATCCGCCGAATACGTCCTGCAGTTACCACATCAAAGGACATGTCGGCGAAATTGTGCGCCTTTATTTCCCCAGGTAGGCATTAGGAATTCCATGCATTTCATTGAGCATTCCTCACGAATGTGTGTCATATTATCCATACTTGCCTATTTTTTTGTAAAGGAAGATTGATTTAAGAGTCCTTCAGCTGGAACTTGGTGGAAATTGCAGACGCCTATTGAGATGAGGAATGGGAATGTTTGCCAACATAGATTATGTCTATGAATGAAAATCGGTTGAAATAATTAAAGAAGCCTTTGAGGCTACCAAAAAAAATATTTATAAATATTAAAATCTACAAATCAACCAATTTTTAAGTAAAAAATTCTTAGATTTTAGGTCTCTAGATAATAGTCATAACAAAAATTTGCCGACAAAGTTTTACTTTTAATCAAAAATCAAATAAGTTTCAAGTTCCTTTTTAAATTATCATGTCTGGGAAAACATTTGGAAACTCTTAGCTCGTCTGAAGATCGGGGTCACCACTTGCCATTTTGCATTTGCAAGTTTTTCCATTAAAATTTCCATTTTTGAACCAGTTATCCCGACAAGGACTATCCAAGTTGATCCCACTCCACAGTCCGAAATCCTTTTGGCCAGCCTTTGCCTCTACAAGTGCAAAGTTTTGCGGCTATGTGGGCGGTTTTCCACTAGCTCCATCGGACTTCATACCATCTTTTTCCTGGGACAATCCCGGGGCTTTCCCTCATTGCGTTCCTATGCTGTAAGCGTATTTTAATGAAATTTTCCGCAAAGATTTATGTGACATTTTAATTTAACGTGTCGACTTGGAGTTGTTCTTTGTGCTCATACTCTCCCGTACATAAATCCAAATGTATATATATTTTTACTTTGTCGCCGTTTGTCGGCGTTGTTTGCTTCTGGAATTTTGCTGGGGAAGTGTCTGAACTTTTTGGCCAAGTGTCGCATTGATTGTGCATTTCATTTTGAGTATTTTCCACTGCATTTCCCACCATGCGCGCTGCGAAATATTTTATTGTGCTGCGGTTTTTGGCTTTGCCTGGCGCACCGAATGGTAAAGACTATGGCGAAGTTTTCCAGCTATCTCTCTGACACTTTTAGGGCACATCAATGGCAGTGGGGGAAAACAGGATAAGGATGGAAGTTCGTAAACTGAAAGTGTGAAATGAGAGGTCATATGGAAATCAGCATTTAAGGATTTAAGGTGGTCTGGTTATAGGGCCATTCTTCAATTCAGTTCCGTGTTGAAGTATTTTTGTTAAGAAATTAGTGTGTTCTCCTAGAAACTCTGACATATACTTTATCACGAAAGACTTCCTTTAAATATCGTAAAAATTTACTTGGGACTTACCATACTATCTATATTTTTTTACCGCATTCTCGTGTAACTTCTTCTACCAATCACACAATTTTATGCCCTACTCCTCTGTAATCTGAAGTCCTAGCATTTACACAAGTTCGCTTCGAGTAATCCAGCTGCAATTGCAATGATTCTGGAGCACCTCCTCCGCTTGAGGAACCCAAACAACCGCTTGATGTTGCAGCTCTGTAATTTATGCAGAAATTGTTACCGAACATTGCCAAGTTTTTGCTGGGAAAACGGCTAAAGAAAACTATGTGTACAGGGCAAACATCACAACAGCACATGGGCGAAGATGGAAAGATCGGGCGGAGGTTGGGGGTTTAAAATATCAAGCAAGTTTTTGCCAAAAGATAAATATTTATGTCCACCTACAGAGCCAAAGAGGAGTTCCAAGGGAGCTCCTAGTAACCATCGTAAACCCATTGTTGCTGGCTAACGCAGGGCACTGGGAGAAGTGGGTGGAAAAGTGGTTCGGTTAGGGTTGGAGGCTGCTGGAAAAGTTGTGCGCACGTTTACACCGATTGCCATTAAGAGTTCAGAAGTGGGCAACATGATTGCGTGATTACAGTGCACAAAATGCAACCGAATAGGGTAAGCAATCGAAAGAGAGAGCTTGATGCTAGGCGAAAGAGAGGTCTATACGCTCAGCGAAAGAGCTGGCCAAAGCTACGTGAGTTTTGTGCTTTTTTCGTCTCATTTTTTTGGGGGAAAAGTTCAAAGTAGACGAAAAATGCAATGGAAAACTGCGTTCGGCACACACCCGCAACATTTTTCCTGCTTTTCTCTGGCCAAGTTTTTCTCCTTGTGGTTGTTGTTATTGGCAATGTTGTTGTGGTTGTTTCGGCTTGTTGTTGCCGTTTGTTGTTTCTGCCAACTTCACTCAAGTTGCAGCCGACAACGCAGCAACAACAAAGGTAATAGGAAAGAAGGGTAACTATGAAGATCGAACTATAATATGCCCTTATAATATACGAGTATGGGATATGGAATACATATATAATACGTTAAGATAAAAGATTATAATTAGTTATATTAATAAAATGAAGAAGAATCTTAAAGATTTTGTTCAGCTTTTTCTGTGATTATAATGGAATCCAGAGGAAGTGTCCTTTGAGTGAAGTCAGAATCAAGAACGTCAAGGAAAAAGGACTCTACATCAACGAACTAATAAGTCTGTGATGAACTTTAGTTAATATTTCAGTTTCCGTACACCTTTCCCTTACTAAGGACACTCAACCCACTACTACCAATCAATAATAAGTACATACCCTTACTATGTTGCAACCTTGAAGCAAATTATAATATCCCCCTGTAAGGGTATAGCCATTAGAAAGGTTTTCTCCCAGTTCGCTTCGTAACTGTCAGTTTACATTTACCTCGGGCACCTTCCTCTATTTGGCCCTCTTCAAAAGCATTCCACCCAACTAAGTGTGTGGGTGCTGTTGTCCTGCTGCCTGTCGCAGGAGTCTCGAGTCTCCATGCCCAAGTCCCGAGTCCCTAGTCCCGAGTCCTGAGTCCTGAGTCCCGAGTCTAGACGCTGTCGACATTGTTTCCAACAAAGTTGCTCATTTAAGTAACATGTCATGGCTTTGCTTTTGCTTTCGGCTTCTGGTGGCTTCCTCGTTTTTTGTTTGCTCGGTCTTTGTCTACTAGGTACTACCACCTATCTACTGCGATTTTTTCCAAGTGAGCTGACCAGATGTTGAACTACACTCCTTGAGTATATTGCACTTAAGTTTCCTACTCAGTGGTGCGGGGATGGATAAGCAATGCATTTGCTTGTGCAGAGCACACACTTTTCCCAATAATGTTGTGAATGGTGGGTTGGTCGGTCGAAGGGGAGTTGCCCGTGTACTGGTTTTACTAGCTACTAACAACTCATCAGCGTCTGCTTTAGTGTGCCATTATCCGATAGATTGTGTTACTATTGTGTATTAATGTCGACTATCATTTGCGACTTCCTATTACATTACGTTGTAGTTTGGCGACTGCCTTAAGCAGGGATGCAGCTGTTCTTTGCTACGAAAGACATTTTTAATGATGCCCCTCCTTGTTTCTATTACCTCTATTGATTTCACTTATTTAAACTACTGTATTCAAGTTCCTCTGATTGTGGTATCTTTTATTACACACAACTGCCTAATAAAATCCACCACTCCACTATAGTTCTGACCCACACTTCGGCGATTTTCCTACAAAGCGAAAATAAAATCAATTGTAGCCTATCTGCTACATTTTTTACCAAACTATCACTGGGCCATTGGTTCCCAAAAAAAAAGAAAAAGAAAACGTAACAAAAATCCGCTTGAAATGCACAAGACATGTCGCATACTTGGGCTATTTATAAGCCTTATGGCCACATAAACTGACGCTCTGGGCTTTTGGCCACGGCACCAATCGACTCCCATATGCACATAACCAGGCTAACCAGTTGACAACAATCCCCCTCGACCCTTGCTCCACCGCCGCCACCCCCAAAATAAACCCGCCCACTGAGTCAGCATAACGGGGAAACTCGGACTGGGAGTTCCAAACTCGGGGTTACACTCGAAGAAAATGTGTTACGAAAAGTTACCCAAGTGATATTTTGGAATAAACTTACAAGCTTACTTTTTAGGTTTATCACAAACTTTGTTATCCATCACTTTACGATTTTCTCCCAGTGTATAAACTGGAATTGGGCTAGGCTGAAAACGGATTACGAGGACATGCCGCAGGGTGTCGGGGCTTACTTTTCGACGACGCGTACGTGAATAACGGTATGGGCACGTCGAAAAGCGCCCAGAAGGGGGAGGGGAATATATCCCCTACATAGTTGGGTAAAAAAAATAGTAACTCTGCTCCATTATGAATAGTAAGGGGCAAGACTCACGGGCATAAAAAACAAGAGCGAAACCAAATGAAATTTGTGCCACACTGCTGCCTGCCAGCGACGTAGATTAGGGGGCGTGGCAGACGCTACACGTTCGCCCCGCACCTTCTCTCCCTTTCAAACTGCTGATGATGGTGATTTTTCTCGACTTCCCTCTGCCCCGCAGCCTTGGTTCTACTTTTTTTCGCCCAACTTTGTGTGAGTTAATAAAATGTTGTATTATGTCATATTTTCGGATAGAGCCAAATGTAATTGCATAGAATGTATTCACCGCACTCTGAATGGTAGTTATATAAAAGGATATACGCAAACCCTAAACAGGACCCGAGTTATATAACTATTTTGCGGATTTTGTGGGATGAGTAACTGAGAACCATGATTGCCAGTTTTGGGGTCTCCGAAAGTGGTGTGTGCGGGGATTTTGGCTTTTCAGCATTGATTAATTTTTGTATCAGTACAGTTATTAAGCTAATATAGTAGTAAATATTTTTATTGATCAGCAGATTTAGCTGACAATAAAGCCATGATGTGTCTATCTATAAAGTTCTTGATCCACAATCTTTGACCTAATAAATAAATAATGCTTGCTACGCCCTTTATTTCCGCTGACCCAAGTTGAATTTCCCCCAAAAAGACTGCAGTCACATCAGCCAGCGTAACGTAATGCAGGAAAACTGCAGAAAATTGGCCTTCCACATCAACTCCTTTCAAATATCCTTGGCGCTCGCCCGTCGTTTTCGCCAGCGTGCCACAAATAGTTTTGGAATGCAATTTGATGGAGGCAGAAATGCAACTCACATCGCGACCCCAAAACCTAACGAGGCTACGTGTGTGCGATAGAGAGGGTTTCTCCGAGTTAAAGAGAAAGTGCGAGAGAGAGAGAGGGAGAGTGCCAGATTTACCTGTTGGCTGGCGGAATTTATATTAAATTGTAGGACGTAAGCACACGACCAAAATTGCGGCCTGGCAAAGAGCCAGCAGCCGAGTGAGGTGTTTACCAAACACGAGTTATGATTATGGTTGACACTGTAGAACAAAAAGATATATCGGCTTCCATTTTCTTTACAGATTTAGAAAGGGAATTACTAAGGCAATGCAAAAAGTTTACATTTAAATTCTTTATAAAAAGCTTCCAATTGTAATGAAAATTCTACTTTTACTTTCTACTTTCAGTTTCCGCATTAACCGTATCGAATCGCCGATTTTAAAGTACGAAGGAGACTGCGGGGAATCCCTGACGATCTACGATTCGGATCATGCCGATCCTGCTCGGATCATAAAGACCTTCTGCGACACCTTCTCCCGACCCATGGAGAAAGTGGACTTTGTCAGTACCAGTCCCTCGCTGTACGTTCAGTTCGACTCCAAGACAGGCAGCTACAGCGGCAGCTCACTGTACTACTGGGCACATTACGATTTCTTCAACAACACCAGGTTTGGGGATCCAGTACCGAACACCCTTTGCGATGAGGTGATGTATGCCTGGAAACATCCAGGAGGCCGTCTTCGATCGCCCTTGAACTCACTGATTTTCAAGCGAACCGGTGGAAGTGACGTCCGCTGTCAGTATAAATTTGTGACGGATCGAAGGCTGTACGCCAGAGCCATAATCGAAGTGAATTCGGTGTCCTTCAAGGAACTTCCCTATAACAGCAATGCCTGCACTCGGTGTCACGAGGAGCGGGTTGATAAGTTGGTGATTTGGGAGGAACGGGACAAATACCAGAATAACCTGGCCTGCTTTTGCGATAATATCCCTCGGGCGGTGAGAGTTATATCGTCAGCGGATCAGATGAACCTCGAGATGATTGTGCAGGGCCAGCATGCCATTACATCATATTTCAAGAACCCGAATCCCCTGTTCGAGGCAACCTATGAGTTTGCCCATGGTCCTTTGTGTGGACCCATTACCCTTGGACCCTCGCCGGATGGTGAGCTGGTATTCCCCTATAAGAAGGCTTTGGCTATGGTATCGGGACCCATGGCACCGCCAGAGCATCATTATCGTCGGGAGAAGTGCATTTGGGAACTAAAGGTGGCCGCCCAGCGGGATTTGTGGCTTAACTTGGAGAAAGCTCGCTTTGCGGATCGCAGCTGTGAAAGTGCCAAGATCGAAGTGTACTTGGCAGGACGTCTGGAGCCCAGATTTGTGGTCTGCCCGGAGAATATATCCTTGGCCAGAGATTTGCCTATACTGACCACAGCGGAGCTGGGAGCCACGGGTGCCGATCAGGAGCCTCTTCCCGTGCTCATCCAATATACGGGTGATGGCCAACCGGGACGTAATATCTTCCGGCTAGTTTGGACGGAACTCTTCCACCTGCCCCGCAATCCTGATGGCAGTTTGGCTGCCTCACTTCTCCAGGATGGCGGCTGTGATTTTCGATGTCCCGGGGACACTGAAGTCTGCATTCCCAAGCATTTAATCTGCAATGGCATAGCTAATTGTCCAAATGTGACGCATACTTCGACGTTGTCGCAACTCACCCGACATATCGAATGGAATCTGGAGCAACTGGGATTACTCCATCATGCTGGCGAATACCAGCAGTTGGTGCTGCACGATGAATCCCCGGAGATCTGCCTGAGACGCGATCTCAGCGAGCTGCCATATGGAAAGTTGGCTCTGATAACCCTGGGACTGTGTCTCATGTTCGGCCTGCTTTTCGCGATCTTAAGACGAATGTGCAGGAGTTCAGCGAAGCAGCAAGGAAGGCATCATTTGCAGGAGGATTACTAAGGAACACTAAGATTTTATAGTGATTTCTTTTTAAGCATTTTTAATATTTTTTAAAGTTATTTATAGCTTCAGTTTTGTTACGAAAACCATTTTTGGAGGATATATCCTTTGTAAATCTAAGAGAAAATATTAAAACATTTTACATTAGTAGGTTTATGGAAATATTGTTTAAAACTTCTACTCAACACAAAATATATTAAAACAATATTTTAGTTATTAATTATTATTAAAAATTCTTCAAAAATGTCATATAAGTTTGGATATTTCAAAATACTTTTTGGGTTTTCTCCAGTATATTTATTTTAATCTTTACAAATTGCAAACTGAATAGGATCCCCCCTTCTAACTATGTAAGTAGCTCTGCCCAGTCGAGTCTATAACTTTCGCTCTACGTGACATCTAATGAATATTAATTGAAAATAATTGTACGATAAAAAACTATAAAAGCCCTCGAACATATAAATGTTTAAAAAACACACTCACACCACAAAGAAAAGGAATTCAACTGCCCTGAATAAATTAATTAAAACATGAAAAAATTGTCACGTGATAATTGTTGAAATGAAAAAAGAAGATACGAAAAAGCGGAATACTTTAAAAGGCATAAAGAAACTAGATTTTAATTAAGGTAGACAGGTAAAATGACAAAACCAAAATGAAGCCAAAAACGAAAACAAAAATATTTAATTCAAAGTAATAAGAGTATTAAAATAAACAATTGTTGGTGGTTTTATTAGTTATTATATCGGTAAAACACAATATGAATACAGTGTACTATTGTTGGCAAATTGTCAACCGAAACCAGGCGTATATACATACATATATATACATACATGCTTATGTATATAATGTACGATATACAGTATATAGGGTATATTTTTTGCACATAGATTTACCTAGTCCATAATTGAATGAAGAACTTCCCCCATGAATTCCACAAATTGTGGCAGGAATTTTAGAAAGAGGAATATGAAACCCAAAAACCGATATTCCCCTGAGAGAAATTGTAAATTAAAACCTAAGAATGGTTCTAGTATTTAAGTCTATATAGAATTGGATTCGTAAGAACTAGAGCGGCATTGTGGGTTCAGAGAAAACCAAGCCCTGTTCCACTTGCACCCATACAAAAATTGTTGACAGTAAACTCCTCACTGAAACCTAGAAACTCCTTCGAATTCTGCACCTCAAAGGTACAGTTGACCCCGCAACCACAATAAGTATGTAAAAACCCCAAAAAGAAGATTTAAACAGGAAGGTAATACCCCGAAAGAAATGAATAAGAAAAACTTGGAAATTAGGACACATATTTTAGTGTACGTCAGAATTAAATGTAAAATAAAAGTACGAAAACGAATAAAATGAGAAATTGAAAAGCCGTTGAGTTTGATTTGCAGGGCTCTGAGCAAGTTGACAGTCCTGAAGAACAGCAAAAATGCAACTCTGGGTGAAGTTGTTTCTCTTTAAGAAGGAGACAAGGGGGAAGCAAGTGGGAGAAGCAAATGTCATCGAAAGGGAAAGATGAAGAGGCCTGTGGGAACGCGAAGAAAAAACCACCTTGTCGCCGACTTAAACGTCAGCTGACCCAAACCCAAAAGTCCCGCACCTCTCAAATCCTGTCAATGAAAATCGTCGTGTCGAGCTGAGCAGAACGTCTGGAACAGGGCAACGCGAGTGAAATTGTGTTAATCTCTAGTCCCAAAACCCAGTCGAAAGTTCTTCACTGCCTTTCTAAACGCTTCTTCGCTTGATTTGGATACCAGGTTTAAGATTCTCTATACGGAATGGAGAGATTCGGAGTGCCGCGTGGCAAGCGTCCCCGAGTGCAGGTTTCTTTGGACGATAAGGAACGAGCCATAGCCCGTATCCGTGGTGGTGAAACCAAGGCCGGAATATCGCGTGAATTGGGTGTTCCGGAGTCCACGGTACGCGGCTGGGTGAAACGAGCCGAGCAGAGAATAGCCCGCGAGGCAAATGTTCAGCCAGGTGAGTAGGGGATTTGGTGCTCCTGATACGTAAGCTAAACATACATCATCACCGAACAGGTACGGCCAACTTTCCCACCATTTTGACCATGACCTTGGCCAAACCGCAAGTCACCATCACCACGAAATCATCGGATTCGTCTGTCAATTCTAAATCATCATCCTCATCGCCTCCGCTGGCCGTAAAGCTGCCCCAAAAGCGCAATATTAATGGTCATGCTGTGCCTTGCCCACAGGATCCTATGCAGAATTCAGCACCTGTACCGGTTCCCACAAACGTGCCCATTCCTGTGCCTATTCCCATGCCCTTCCCAGTACCATCAATGGTTTCCACTGAAAGTCAGCAACAGATTATTGCTTGGCTGAATATTTTCAATGCCGGAATCCTGAACTTCACGCTGATTGCCACTGCTGCCGTGCTCCAGGCTCGCTCCCGTGGTTTGGCGGATCGCATACCGTTGTGGCAAATTATCACGGATTTCGTTGACGAAGCCGGGCGTAATGTGGCAGCCAATGGGGGTCAGTACGTGGAGCAGCCTGCACAGCAGTCGAATAGAGTGCGCACAAGCCCCAGACCGCGAAGGGTTCAAACGGCATTGCCGGTTCATCCTTATCGCGGTCATAAGAAGGCTCCACCTGTCCACATAACCGCTGAAGATGATGAGGATTGCATCGCAGACGCTGATATGGTACAATGATGACACCAGGGACAGGGAAATAATGTGATTTTACCTTTTGCAAAAAGGAAAACTAGATGGGGGTTATTAAATACATAATTAAAGATAAGAAGAAGTTTTTTGGAAGAGTACTGAGTGATACTAAACGGGTATAGTATTGGGAAACGGATTCATTTAGCATCCTGTACATAAACGTATGCCTTAAGGTAGGGAATTAAGACGGATATAACTCTGAACTCTGAATGTGTATTAACTTTAGTTTCAAAATTGAACAAACTTTAAACAGAAATCATTTTAAATTCTATATATTTTCTATTTGAGTAAAGAGGTCATATATAAGCATTCTTATACACAATCAGATTAATGGCTGTGTCAAAGGATTTTGCTTTCTAAATCCCTCAAGCGGTTTCGAACTCCAACCAAAGTCAACACCCACTGGAGCCGCATTACGGAGCGGTGGTTGACCAACCGAAAAGTTCACCTCAATAGCCTTATCGATATGCAAATAAAATGAAATGCCAGTCCCTGTCAATGGGATTATGTTGTTTAAAGCAAATAATTGCATTTTAATTAGCAGCGAAATAAGTGCGATAATTGGCCTCGAGCCGGAGAGAGTCTGGAATCGGAATCCAGCCTGGCCAGGGAACCTAGGGTGTGGGTGAACATCTGGGCCTGGATGTGGCAGCGTAGTGAATGAATCAGATGCGGCTGGCTTTATTAACCATATTATTATTTCATTTCGATGCGTGTCATGCAAATTTCTGCATTTCAGCCGCTTTTGCCTTTGTTGGTGCTGTCGGGTTCGCCTGCCTTTTGGCCGCGTCACGTAATTAAGCGGTTTTATTTGCGGCTTTGCCGCACATTAATTGGTCATGTTAAATGTAAAATTTCATTTTCGCAAAAAACACGAAACGTTTCCATAAATGAAATATATTTAATTTTTTCCTGTTCGTGTCGCCATATTTCAGCATTTATGAAAATGATTTTGTAGTGGATTATAGATGAACTCGACTGTGGCCTGTTAGTTGTGTTTTGTCAGTTTGGCTGTCCGGTCATGCGGCTTGTATTTCTGCATTTGAATCTCTCTTTTTTTTTATTATTTTTGCCATTATTGTGTATTTCATCCTTAAGCGGACCAATTAGTGTGTTATGACAAAGGATGCTTGTCCAGTTAGACAGGGAATTTATGCCATTTTTTTATTCAGCACTTTGCTCTGATTGCTCTTTATTGGATGCGTTGCAGCAGCTCGTTTTACGTCTTTTAATTATCGGAAAATGTTTAATAATGGTTTTAGGCATATATTTATATGTTATTCAATATACAACAAGGGTTAAAAATGTAAATTATTTGATTTGTGATTAGAGCTTTTGTCACCATTTATTAATAATTTTACTGCTTTAAGTTATTTAAATGAAAACAACAGAGTTTTCAAAATATTTGCACAATATTTAACCTTAAACTAATATCTTTTTTGACTAAAATTCAATCAAAAGCAAGTTGCATGTTTTCTAATTGCAATCCAATCATAGGGCGGCAGGCATTTCCATTCCCATTTCCATTTACCTTTCACCCAGCTCCATTAACTCGGACAACAACTTGGCAATACCAAATACCACCCACAAACATAACCGCAAGAAACGGGCCAAGCTAAGCCAGTGGAAATGGCCAAGAACAGGCCTCGCGATTATCCACACAGTTCATCGACGAGGGCGAGAGAGTGGCTTAAACATAAACTTTTTCCATTTTCCTGCCTGGCCATAAAAAATATGGATAAGGGACAGCCGAGACGACTTTCGCCTTGGCCTCGATGTTAGGCGAAGATTTGGGAGCTCGCCGCCTGTGCCTTTTCCGGATTTCTTTTGCGATTTTCCCAATCATTTTCGGCATTTTAATGCATGGCAGGGCGGAAAAGCCTACAAGGCAAAGTCGAAGGCTCTGTGGCCTCGTGGCTCCTGAAAACGTGTATCAAAGTTGATTATCGTGGAATATTTTTCAGCATGGATTGAGCCGGAGATTTGTGCTTGTGGCCTGACCTGATTTGCGGCCCCAAAATCCTAAGCCCTGGGATTTGCGCCTAGATTGGCCCGCTCCGGCACCTGCTGCTGTTTGTGTTTGTTATAAGTTTGATGATGAACTTGTTGAGAAAAAGTTTGGGCACTTTTCGGCTGCCAAAAAATGCAACTTTAATGGCCACGAAAACAATAAACGCCTAATGGAACACGGTTAAAGATGCGACTCCTGGCAAGGTGCTAGAAATTGAGTGTGTTGGAATGGAAGCGGAAACGGAAATCATATGGCACACGGCACACAGCTGCAGATGCCATAAAGGTGCTTGGCTTTTATGTCCAGCGTGGGAAAGCGTGGAAAAGTGTGGAGAAGCGAGGTGTGGAACTTTCGCCTCCGCCGCACACACACACACACACACAAAGAGAGACCCAAAATAAACGCATTAGGTTCTCGGAATTGGAATTGCGGTTGCAGCTGCCGGCAGAAGTCGAATGCCCAACAAGTCATAAATCAAACACGTTTAATTAAACTTTACGCACCGGGGTTTCCCCCTCCAACCCGCGTATCCTTCGAGCCTTTTGCCTTTCCTCCGACCCTCTTCTCTCCACAAAGATGTAGAAACTTTTCGACTCCGCCACTAAGTAAAAATGCAATTAGAATTGCCAGACCAAAAGGACTCGAATGGAAAGCACCGATCTGTGGAAATGGCCACGCCCCCACCCACGCCTACCTCTGAGTTCTGGTCACGTGGCGGTACGTGCATAACGGTTACTTGCACTGGCGGAATTGTAAACTAGCCCCAAGTACCCTTAAAGTTGAAGTGCATTCGAAGGTGCTGCTATCACCTAAATGGCTGCAATCGCAACCAGCTGCTGTTCGGTTTGTTTAGGGCCACAAAAAAATCACACAAAATTTGGCAATTCATTTTTAGTACCATTCGAAATTTGTGGGTTTGAATTTAAGGATTCTTAAATAGGTTTCCTTGAGTCACCAAATGGATACCTGTTCTCTTGGCCAAGTTAGTTGCATTGCCGCTTTTTAGTCTTTAATTTTTCTTCGCAGTGTTCATTTTATTTTCCAGATTTTTAGATTGACCTTATGGCGCCAGGGGCTCTGTTTTAACTACAAAAACTTCTCCAAACTTGCTGTTCTACTAAGTCTTAGTATACATTTTTAAGAGCAAGAACTTCCAAAGGTATTAGACAGAAATGTAATCCCATTCCAAGCAATTTTCTTTCAACACAATAAAGGTTGGCATTTAATTTTTCGAAATCGGCTTATATAATGAGCGCTCCCTTAACTTCCTCCAGTTCTGTGCTTTCATTTCATTTGGTATTTCCCAAAAGAAAGCCACAACTTGTTAGGAGCCGCACAAATGCACTGGCAGAAACTGTGAATTATGTGGTAAAATGTTTTCTCGCCACCTTCGCCTTGCAGTTATCACTCGGCACTCAGACCGCACCACCCACGAAATGGAACCACCCAGAGCCCAAACCGACCAAACCACCCACCGCCTGTCATTGCGAAGGAAATCACGCAATAAACTAGCGGCGAAAACAAAACTTTAACTACTTTTTCCGCTGGCCGCAGAAACTCAGTGGGAAAACTTTTTTGAAACAATACAATTTATATTTATGCGCAGAGGCGACGGCGATGACAAAGAGGGTTTGGGTTGGAAAATGCTCGGAAAAGTGGGTGACTGACCCAGAAAATGGGCGGCAAAAGAAAACGCTGGCCAGCATTTTGGCAAAGAGCAAGGATTCAGCGACGGCAGGAGAGTTTATTTTTAAGTGTTGAAAATAACTTGACCCACATTTGTGTGGTTCCCCTTCTGGACTTCTCTCTACCCCGTCTGCCTTTTTCCCCGGTGTTGATAACTGTTTTTCCGACCCGCCCGGACAAATCCCCCGCAAACTCCTCGAAAAACTTGTCCATGTCCATTCAGAGGGCTCAATGTTGAACGAAGCTTAGTCCGAAACTATTGCCAAAACTTTATAACAAATTAATTGCATTTTAAGGGCATGCAAAAACCAGGGATGCACGAAATATTCAAATTTTCATTCGGCTCACTGGACTGTGATGGAGTTTCCCAGATACAAATGGGGCTCCCGTCTGACCTCGACTAATTTTCGCTTTAGAGAGACTCAAATGACATCGTTAAAATGTAATTACAGTCAAACTTCCATGGGTTTAGCCAAAAATATAAAATGTTCTCTGAATAAAAATAGAAATTTTAAAAACAAATACTAAATATTTATGAATTATGAATATGTATTTATCCTTTCACTCTTTTTCTTTAATATTAACGAACCATTTGAAAATCTAGAAAATAAACTTAGACAAGTTTTAGTGTAAAACGGGGTATATTCGAAAAGTAACTTATCGAGCTTAGTTGCCACATTCTGGTCCATTTTCATAATTTTCATTGCTGTTTATTACTGTCAAAGGGTTAATTAAAACGACCCAACGGAGAAGGAAAACTGGATTGTTTGCCAAATAAACTTACCCAGTTTGCTAATTAGTTACGAAAAGAAATCGTGTTTGCTCTCGTTTTGTGGTTTCGGCCATGTCGCAATCACAGTCCCAAAGCCAAAGCACTGTTTGCAATCGATACACAAAACCTTGGCCAATTAACCCCATCCCGGGCCGTCTTGAACTAGTTTGGACCCAAAAACAATACAATCGGAGGATGAAGAAGTGGCAGAAGAATGATGAAGTAGGGAGCTCATAATGACCCGAAATCCTTTCAGCCCAAATGGAAATTCCCCAGTCGTGCGTATAATTGGAATTAATACAAAAAGCAGCTGAGGAATATCGAACCACAAGAGGGCGGCATCGAGCATTGAGAGTGGGTTAAGCAATCGGATAGTTTTGTGCCCCGCAGGCCAGATTTAATGGCCAAATCCTGCTCGGGGACCTGACTTCCTGAGAGCTTGATTAAATTTGATTTGTTAGCCGACAAAGAGGTTTCGCTACATGGGCTTAACTGCACTGGAAGAAAACATGTATAATATTTAAAATATACATATTTTGAAATTTTCAAGACTTTCTCTCTGGGTCAGCTATAATACAAATCAGTTTCTAACTAAAAATTAAGACAAAAATATTGCAATATAAGTTAAATGTTATTTTCAACAAACCTTAAACACAACAATTTGGTTTTCTAAATATTAAGTAAATATCTAAATCTGACCATTGCTGTCTCCTTTTTCTCTCAGTGCACACATGTGGTACATTCGTTGGGTGTTGATGGAACTTATTGAAATTATCTGGGCTGCGTAATTTGTTCGTGCCGTAGGGCGGCAAATATATTATGATTTTTGGCGATGTGAAGGAATCTAAGCATGCACATATTTATTTATGTACATATAATCGATGAGTCACCTTTGCTTACATTATTATTATAATTTCCTTCGAAGTCTGTCGCGCTTCTTCTTCCTCCTGCTTCATGTGAAACGCCAGCGGGCTTTTGTTGTTATCCCTCAACAGTTGAAAACACATTTGATTAATGGATTTTAATATTTAATAACTGTTATGGAATGTGGCGAGTAATTAAACACACTTAAGCTATATTTGTATAAATTTCCGTGCGTGATAACAAAACATTTCCGTTTACCGCCGAATTTTTTATTTATCATAAAGCGATCGAGTTTAATCGAATAGTATAGTATAGTCATCCTGCTCACACGATAAGGAGGTTAGTTTTGTTATTCCTGAGGTGGGTTTGGTGGATTGCACTTTTAAATTATTTCCAGAGGTTTAGGAACTATTGGACAATAAACTGTAAATAAACCCATTTTATTAAAAATAATAAATATCTGTTTAATGTGTAAAATATAAATACAATATATTTATAAAGAAGGAAAGTTATTTTAGCTATATATATTTTAAAAAAACATATTCTTAATATAAATATTGTGTTATATAAATATATTGTATTGTTAATACATATTTTTCTAGCTTGAAAGCGGTTTAGGATACCTTTAAATGTGCTTCATCAACCTTTTTCTTCATATCAAATTGTACTAGGACCAAAACTTGAACCAGAACATAGAAAAAATAAACCAAACTAGTTTGTTTATTGAAAACAAATAAACCGCAGACTTTATAAGTCAAACGATGGCAACGCAGATAATCGGAGAATAGCTCCAGCTGTAAAAAGTGATTAAAATTTTAGACATATTTTATTTAAAATATATACTACCTCCAATTGAAACTCTCTTTTGATCAGCTCCATATGGCTAAATCTCCGCAAGATGTTACCTAATTTGAGGCCACTCCTGCGAGTCACATTGTCCACAATATTCATTAGAAGACTTGCACTCCAATAATGTGTAATAATCACACATTGTCCCACAACTCTCGTGTATAACGAGGTTTCTATGGTTCGATTGCCAAATTGAACACCATGATATACCAGATTCACATTAGTTACAAACAATTTTAGCAATAGAAAAGCGATCGGAAAATCGAAGGTTTCAAAAACTTCGCGGAGGAGTAGCTGATTTTCCGCAAAATGGTGGAAAAGTATCCGAAGTTTATTCAGCGACTTTTTGGATTTGCTTTCAGTTAAAACCAACGAGTTGCGCTCTTCGTGATTTAGCAAGGAGCATAAATCCTTGAGAGCTATCAACGTTCGCTCACTCTGCAACTGGAGAACTAAAAAGATCACACATACTCCAGCCGTCATGACAATCACATATATATACTGACTGATATGGGACACAATCATTGTTCCTTTGATAATACCATAACCCGTATCGATTTCCATCAAAATTAAAGTTCCAAACAGAAGACTGAGATTGGTAACAACAAAAACCTGAGCAAGTACTATTTGAAATCTCTTTCGTAATTTCATATACTCTGTGGAATGACCCTTAACCTTTTTGCACTTCTGACAGTGATTTAAAAGTTGTTCTCCCAACCTTAGTAGCTTTCTTCTTTTAAACCACATCATATAGCCCCCGGAGGAAATAGCCATTATTCGGGTAATGTTGGTTAAATTAAAGGCCCACTGGAGAACCGAATTGCTTCTCATATAACTTTCTTCGTACATGTACTGGGGAAATGCGAAAGGCATGAGGATCAGGAGAACTCCGTGCAGACAAGCCGTATAGATGAGGTACCACCGTTGTGAGTGTCCAACAAGAAACTTTCCCTCTTCCAGGGGAGCCGGGACCAGGCCGCAGCCAACTCCATATATGTAGAAGAATTTCAGCAGCATGACGAGAAGACCACTGTTACCTGCAAAGGACGACTGTCAACTGAACGGCAATCGATGGAAGCTCCGTTATCCTGCCGAAAATCAGATGACCTGCCAACTCATCACCCTTCCATCAAAACCGCAAAGGACTTTCACCTAATTACTCTTTTTTCGAGTTCAGAACTTGGGCAGTTACCGGGCTGCCTTTACTACAACATGTTGCATTCGAAACTGTGTCGGGTGATGAGTTTAGTCTACTACCATTCAGTGTTTTTTGCCCTAATGGGGACCACTTTAAGGATACGCTCTTATAGAAAATCCATAAGATTGGAGAAGGCTTCAAGGTCTTACCTTATATATAACTTCTGTGTTGGAATCTTTCTGTTTTGGAATATATACTATATGGTTCCTCAGGCCTTGGTGGATGGCTATATAAAATACAACATAGTTCTACAGTGGAACTTCTTTGTGATGATTATTCTTAGAATACTGGCTGTTTTGGGCTGTTATGTTACCATATGGCTAAAGCGAAAGGAAATTATTCAGCTCTACAAAAACTCTCTGGCTTATTGGAAGATATTCCGGAAAATAATACAAGTTTTAGTAAATAAAGAAGATCTCGAGGAGTTACAAATAACTCTGGCCAGGATGATGTATCGACAAATAATAGTGCTCTATGTGGGTTTTATGTTCTCCTCAACAATACAATACAGACTGCTCAGTGTTATTAACAAACAAAGTTTACTGGCTTTAAGTGCACGACTCACCCACTTCCTGCACTTCATAGCAGTGAAAATTGGTTTCTACGGGATGCTCTTGTTGCTTAATCATCAGTTCTTGGTTATCCAACTGGCCTTAAACAATCTTCACCAGAAGAAGTCCGGAAAGAAATGGAAGACCTTGCGATCTATAGCCTCCATGCACTTGGAAACCCTTCAGCTGGCCAGGAGGATCTTTAGTTTATATGACATCATCAATACTACGGTGTTCATCAACATGTTCATGTCCACAATAAATATTCTTTATCACGCTGTCCAGTTCAGCAATAATACCATTAAATCAGATAGATGGGACATTTTATTTGGCAATGGATTGATTGTTTCTAACATCTGGGGAACCCTGATGCTGATGAATATGCTGGATAGGGTAGTGACCTCGTGCAACAACATTGGCCAAACACTCAGGCAGTTCAGTGATCTGCCAAATGTTAGCAAGAAACTCCAAAGAGAGGTTAGTCAAGGATTTAAAGCAAGATTAAAATATACCTAATATTTATCTTTCAGTTGGAAGTTTTTACTATACAGCTGAATCGCAATCATTTGGTCTACAAAATCTGTGGAATTGTGAAACTAGACAAGCCCGCTGGTCTCAGATATATAGCATCCATTCTGAGCAACGTCATTATCCTAATGCAATTTGATTTGAGGAAGCAACCACAGCCTAACATTCATCATCGGTATCAAGCTTAATTAAGCAGGAACCAAACAGAAGTATAAAAATATTGTTAATGTAAGATTTCTTTATATAGCTTTGGAATTTCAATTTTACCTATGCTTTCTAAATGTGATGTAGAATTGAGTTTAAAAATAAAGGTACTTTTACATAAAACTTGAGGTATGTAATGTAAGTTTTAGAAGTAGTTAACTTTATCTTACATTATGAGCTCCTGAAAGAAAGCTCCAGGACTTAACGTTATAGCAGCGGTCTACAAAGTATAATTTCGAATTGAAAGCTTTTCTGGTCCATGAGCTGTGTTTTCTAGCGGATAACTTTTATATTTCTATAATTATATTATAACTCCAAAACTTTTACTACTTTTATGGTATTTAAAACTTACATTTACATTGTACTTTACATTTTTATCATATCAGACCACTAAGGGTATTCGACTATTTAAATATTATATTTATAATTGTTGATATACTGCATTATAATTTTCTTAAAATAATGAAAAAATTTATGAAAATTTACATGCACCTTATTTCTCAACCATATATTTTATAAGCAATCTGACACAGAACCAAGACACTGGTTATTATGTTCCTGGACATTGCGTGAACGGATGAGTTGCTCAGATCAAATAATCCCACGATGTGGAGACGTCTTACCCGTTTTGGATTCAGTTGAAGTTTTCGGTTCAGATAATAAATGGAAAACTCCAACTAAAGTGAAGATTTATTTGATGTTTTAGTTATTAGGATATATATTAAGTATTTACCTGTCTTGAAAGAATCATTCCATGGCTATTTTCATATGTGCTTGCCAAAAAATTGACATCCGAAAATTTTACCACACGTTGCAAAAGATCCCACCATTTCCAGCGGTTTATCTCAAAGATGGAAAACTGCATTATAATCTCGATGTGATGAGTAAGAAATAGGAAAACACAAAATATTCCCTTCCACACATTGAAAGTCTGGTCGAATTCAATGAAAATCCATAGACGAAACAAGGTGGCTATGTTGAAGATGTAAGTGGTCAGCAGGTTGAAGAGTAACTGCCATTGGAAGATGTCCAAAATTTGCTTTAGGACCTGATCCAAATGGAGGCAGCGTTTCCAAAGTTTTCGCCACCCTGGCAGGATTTGCTTCAAGCCCATCTCTCGAGGAATACCATATCTTGGGGGCAAAGCTTCCAGGTCCTGAATCATTTCCTGAACTCTCTGAGAAAAGTTCACCAGCAGCCAATTCCCAGCAATCTGAATCATGTACACCGTTAAATCCACATAGCTCATTAAAAGAATCATGATCAAGGCATAAACAATGGAAGCCAAGTGATACGGAAGCATAGATCTCTTGAATTTAGAGTCTTGCTCACAACGAACAACCGAGTCTCGGGTGATGAGCTGCTGTGTGAGGAGCACAAATCTGGAGCTGGTCAGCAAAAGCTTGCACAGACACATTCTCCGGCAATCGTTTCCAAGTGCAAAGCGGTATTTTCGCAACATTCCCATCAGATCATTACCCAGCTCCTGCAATCTACGTCTCTGTATCCAAACACTGAACATTAGGAGCAGCATGGTGAGGAGTTTGGTCAGTGCCACCACATTATAGACTACTCCGAACATGCCCACGTTTGGGCACTTGTAGATGTTGCCCGTTAGCATTGTCAGGGCAAATGGCAGGAATCAAAATATACGCCACATTAAGGATGACGCAGTAGATCACCGTGGGAACATGGTAGAGGATAAAACGATGATTCCGGGAGTCATATTGTAGATTGCATAGTCCTATCAAGCGACTCACTTCGAAATAAATCCGCAGAAGGTATAGTTGAGCCATTTTGCTGGACCTTTAAACTGGAACTAAAACCTACAATGAGTGTATTTGACCAAGGGTCAAACTAAGGGGGCTCCTGGGACTTAGAGGAGTGAAAATTATGGTAGGTCATGCAACCAAAAACCTTTAGTTAAATATACTTAGTTGAAGGACATTACAAAACTAAATAAAGATTGTCGTTTTTAAAGAATGAAATGCTATTTAAAAGCCAAAGTATACAAAAGTAATATATTTCAATATCACCATGCAATATTGAAACAAATTTGTATTTTTGATAAACTATTAAAGAAAATATTAATAAGTTGTATATATATATTAATCAAAACTGAATTACTAATACGCATTAATGTTACAATGACGTGATAGACAATCTAAAATAAAACCAGAATAATAAATGCAATTAAAAGATTGTTTAAAGTTCAAAATCAAAATGGTAATTACTAAACGCTATAATTATCTGTAGCACCGAACAAATCAAAGCGCTTTTGAATTTGTTATCTAAAAATTATTCATTTATTTCGCTATCTTTCGTTTTGCAATTTCAAGTGGTTTTCTAGATGTTGGCTGGTGTGTTTGGTTTGTTCTTATCAAAATACCGCTTGGTTGCTTGGGGATCTATGCTTATCTTTATAGGTAGTCGGTAGTTCGTTAAAATGTAAGCTTATGCAATAACTACCGCAACGAAATGATGATGCTGAAGCGTATCTTATCGAACCGAATCGTTCTCCTATGCGTTAACTAGAAACTAATTATAAATTCAAGCATATTATATAAAATCACACAACAATCTCTAATGCAGTTTTGCACTCGCTCTGACTTCGTTGTAAATGGATACACACTATATGGAATATACACTCAGATAAGTTTGTATACATCTAGGTTACGGTGGGTCGATTTTTAGAAATTTAAAATTTTAAGTGATGGTAGGTAATCAATAATATCTTTCATTGGATGGATTGGTTTGAATTAGATACTTAAATTCTGCGTTTTGGAAAATCTATTAATTTAAAAACGGCAACCAATGTTTTCATTATTTGCATCTTCATTCTTTCAAAATTCTTTTTCACTTTTAAAGTACTTTTAAAAAATCAACCCACTTTAATCTAGGTATATGTATGGTTAAATGTTAGGATGAGTAACATTCCGTGTTTCATTTAGCACAATTGACATCTACAGTTAGTAATTAACCCGTTCATCTACGCCACAATGTGGCTGTTTTTGTTAAGATCGGTGAGCAGCTCGGCGTCAAGATCTTCGGCCTCCAGAAGATCGTTACAGGCATCACCGTTAAGTGAATGTGGAATGCTTGTTGATAGCACCATCCCTCGACCTCCACCGCTCCCCGTGCCAATTGAAATATCATCGGGCGGGGAATTCCGACGTCTCTCACGTTCCCTGACAATATGTGGCGCTTCATTGAACTCGTCCAACTCATCCATGCCTGCAAAGCAAATGAAAAATTTTGAAATATCAAATTTCCATAATAAATCAATCTTTCTGACCTGCATATTTGGTGCCCGCTAAGAGCAGATATTGGCCAGCTCTATGTGGCCACAGTAGACCCGTCATCACGCAATAGGCCATGCAGTCTGCTGAGTTGGTGATGCCCTGCAGCAACTTGTAGCGCCACATGGGGCTGACCTGCAGCGCCACAATGGCCACGATGGGCAGGTAAATAAACCACACCAAGCTGGAGGCGCCTAGATGAAGCAGAAAGTCAAGTTTCTTCGTGGAGTGCTCATACTTCATTGTGTTGCGCAGTTCGTAAAGGAACCACATCATAAAGGAGGTGCTGTAAGTAAACCATATTAGAGTGAAGCAGATTCTAAATAATATTAAAAGACCTACCGTAGTATTAGGACTATCCAGCCAGGCCAGGTCTGGTATTCGTCAATGTCGGACACCACATCGACTTCCGTCTATAATCAAGTGAAATATTGATTTAGTTTGAAACTCTAAAACATTTGTGTACTACTAACCCTATCCCAGATATAAAGGAACACATGAAATGCGCAATATGGCACCCAGATGGACATTAAGATGATCCACCCCATTCTGCTGATTTGCTGCCTGGTGACTGCCCATCCCTTGGCTAAGAGCAGCAGGATCAACATAAAGGTGGTACGGCTTAAAATGTCCAACACATCGCCCGCCGCCTGCAATCTTGGCTCGCCAACTCCATTGGCCGCGTAGTGAATCAGATGAGCGGTGATAAGAGCCAGACTAACAAATTCGCTTAGCAGACTCAGGGTAAACAATTTGGTCACTGGATGCTTCTGCCGCCGCACGGCATAAATTTGCATGGGTAGCAGAACGATATAGACGAGCAGGAATACTAGGTACATCTCCAGAAGGTTCTGCTGATCGTATGAGTACTGGTAAGTTAGTGGATGTGCGGCCGAGTTGTTTGGATGCAGGTTGACCAGGTGGATATCGTAGTGCAGGGTGTTGAAAAGATTGCTGCTCAATTTACTCAGCTTGGGCAGACTCTCGTGGGCGTGCCACTGGCAGGTGGTCTGGTTTTGATAGCAGGCCACCAAGGAGAGGTACCAAAATCTGTTTGGAGGAGAGTTTCAAATTATTAGTTATTATTTAACTTATATTCTTCAATCTATAAATAGTGGTCTTTACGATTACCTCATAAACCTTACGACTTACATAGGTCTAAACAAATAATTTTAAAACATTAAAACAGTAAAATTTTCTTACAACTTGTAATTATTTAAAGTCACGCGCGAGAGGATTTGTGTTTCTTTTGTTTCTTATTTAAGTACCTATCAAGAGGCAAGTGTTATCTGAGTTGTTGAGAAATAAATAAATTCAGTTAAGAGGAAACTCGTTAAAAGTAAACATAGATAACTTCAATATTGGGTCTTAATTTATCTGGTTTCCTGTGACAGTACGAAAATGAAAAGCAGAAAGGCTTCATAAATATGAAGTTATCAAATTTCAGCATAAAACAAAGGAAAAGTTTATTAAAGTATTCGAGATACAGGCGGTGAAATATGATTTAAACTTTTCTTTAGACAAATGAGTAAAGTATTAGCAATATACTTTTAAGACCTTTAATATCACTAGACTCACCTTGGCTCTGCTTCCAGTTCGATTACATAGGTGAACTGAGATCCCGGAACGACGTTCTCGGGTGCATCCTCATCACTGCACAGCTGATTAGCAGGACACGGAACGTGTCGCAAGAAGTCCCTTTTGGCACGGGGATTGCACTTAGAATCGTAGGCGATCCTTTGAAGGCGGGAGAACATCCCGGTGCAGGCGGCTTCCCGACTTCTCTGGCTGCGGTTGCCGTAGAACTCGAGGAAAGTGTTTCGGTCCAGGACGACGAGCGTCAATGGAACCGCATATTTATCTGGAGACGTGACATTTCCATATATGTATCCATAGCCATTTCGTCGTGTGGGATCCGCCTTATTGAAGCCGAATTTCACCAGGAACTGGAAGAAGTCCTCTGTCTGGAACTGTCCGCTGATGTGGGTGGCATTGCTCGTGGGCAGGGAAATCGTGATTACGATGCAGATCAATCCCAGAATGGCCATGCTGTGATTCCAAAACCACCTTTCACTTCTTATCAGTTGTCGTTGTTTGGATGCAGCTTCTACCTCAGCTCCGGAAATCCTGGACACCTGCTCCTCTATTTCGGTTGCCTCGTTGGCACGACCGACTTGCCAAGGTGGCGCCCCTTTGTGCATAGCTTGCAAGTTGGCTGGCAGCAAGGTCTATTTTTATTTTTGTTTTGCGGAAATTTCCACAATTTGCATCTCCAGGTATCGATTCACGATAGACAACGATAGGCTTAGTCTTTTAGTGTGACCGCTGAAAAATAATCAAGAGATACCGTCTGAATGTGGAAAATATACTTTTATTTTTAAAATCATTTAATAATGCATATGCATTAAAATAGTGCAGCTAAACCGATTTTCACAAATTCCAAGTTATGAAAATTTAAAAAATTGAACCTCTTTTGTTTATTTATTTTTTAAATTGGTTTGCAATAATTTTTTTTATTAAAACAATTTCTATGCTATTTATTTTCAGGACACCATCGCCTTATGTTTTATCTGTGCAAATATAAAAGTAGTAATCAAATATATGGGATTATACTGCTTTAAATATTGAATAAATCATAAGAATGCGTTCTGTTAATATCCGGCTAAAATAAATTTTAAAAAATACCAGAGCGCATTACCCTGTTATTGTCATATGAAAAAAATTCCTAACTACACACTTTATAAAGCAGCGGGCTAAAAGCCAAGACATCTACCCAACAAATGCACTAAAAGCTAAGATGCAAACCTACTATTTTAGTTGATGGCTGTTGGGAAATTTAAAAGTCAAGGAAATTTTTGAAACTTAATAACATTTATAAAACCTCTGGACATGCATAAAAATTAAAAATATAAAACTTTAAAAATATTTGGTGTGTCTTGAATAACAGCTAATGATAACAAAAGCATAAGTAATCTGAAATGGGAAAATGTATCTTTATAAAGGGAAGAACAAAGTCCTTAATAAATAAAAAACTAATTTGGGGCATTTTTTTAATTTTTGACATTTTTGGGAAAATCCACATTTAAGATAAACCCAGTTTTAAATTTTTATGAAATGATGAAGGGTGGATAAGAGAAAAATTCAGAATATTTATTTACCCAAGGCAAGGTAATTTATCAATTCCCAAGTGAAGTTTTCAACAAAGACGACCATATTTGGGATTAACGAACAATGAAACTCTTTAGCATTTGCCCAAATGGGCGTCTTATCTATTTTATTATTACAATTTTAAGCTCTCCCACTCCTGCTCTTTGCTCATGCCAATGTCAATTTTGAACAATAAATTTCAATAATTCCCAAATTTATGCGGTAAAGAGTGTTGCTACCCTTTCAGCCCACCGAAAAAAACTTCAAAGTGCAAAGTTGGGTAATACGTATTATGTATGTAGCTCCCAAATTCCGCACCCTAAACTGGATGAGCTTCCCTTTCGCTTCATCATTCAAAATGCAGCCGGCGGTGGAGAGGAAATTCTCGTGTGGATTGTGGTTTGCCACGCCCCTCTTCCTTCCAAAGGTGCAAAAAGCAAAAAGAAATCCACACACTTTGACAATTCCTTTGAGATTTGATTGCGGAAGGGAGAGCGGTTGAGAGTGTGCGAAAGGGAGAGTGTGGTTTTGCATAAAAAATATGAAGCCATTGAAATGTAGATTTTTCCATTGTGATGTTGGCAGATGAAAACTTTGATTCTTAGAGCAGATCAACCGAAGCTTACAGCAAGTAATATATATCCTCCCTTTTTCCTTCGATGACCCACTTTCTCGACCATTTTATCACTCATTTATTGATGACGCCGCAAAAACGATGGAATTGCAGAAGGAACAGAATAAATTCATGAGCTTTCTTAACTACACATAGTTTTTGGCATTTGTTGACAGTTACAGTTCACTCAGTTGTGCAAAAGTCAAGACAAATACAATAAATGGGATTTCCAGGGGGTTCTATCTATATATATACAGTAAGGATTCCCTAGCTTGACCATCAAAAATGTATATTTAAATAATACTTACTGCTTTTTTAAGGAAAGTAATTTCCTTGCGCCTAGTATATACTTTTTCTAATATGAAAACCAAGACAATACCATCATCCCATTCATATGTTCAATATATAGACAATTACCTATCCCTTCTCAAACAAGCTTCACTGTACATATTTTCAAACAAACAATGGCTGGAGCAAAATAACTTACTACAAATTATTCGGGCAAATATTAAGCACACATAACATGTGAACACGACGGAAAGTTCATTTCAATGTCTGCCGACGACCCCAATAATAAAATCCGACAAGGTTGGCAAAAATACAAAAGGAGCGCAATTTGTCGTCCCTGTCTGACAGGATCCCACCCTCTCTCTCTGGCACTTTCTAAACCCGTCTCGTTCTCTTCGATTGAAGAAGCAAACAGTTCATTGAAATGCCACCGACGAAACATGGACAATAAAGGTTCAATGATGATGAGGTGGAAAAATTGGGGAGTTTTGGTATGATTTTCGCCAACTTGCAGAAAGTACATTTTATTTTTGATTAGGCCGGCGCGACTGTTTATGTTTGGCCAATAAAAAGATGTTCGGAGCAGTTGGTGTGATTAGGCAGATACAAGTGTCCAAATTTCTTCAACAGAACGGTCAGGGAATTTAGGTGTAGTTGGGATTGATGAGGTGGATAATACTTCCAGTTTTTCGAAATTATTTTCGTACTCTTCTTTTTTTTTTGATATAACAATAAATAAATTTATTTATTAATCGTAAATCTTAATGGCTATAAACGTTGAGAACAACAATGAACAAATAACACAAATACATAGCAGGAAGGAATTAACAAATTTGTATAACTAGATAACGAGAGATCAATGCTAAATATTAATACTATTAATACTAATGCTAGATTACTGCTTTCGGACTCGAGAAATTTGGGGTCCTCTTGTCTATAGATCGGCTGGATGCCTTCGCTTTAGACGTCTTCTGGTAGTTGCATTAGCCAGCGAAGGAGCTAAGTGGTTGGTGTGGGCTGTGAGACGATCGTTGTACCGACTCGAGTGCCTGTTTATCTGTTCCCTAATAGAGGGAATGTGGAGGTCATCTTCTAGGGTTTTGTTTCTAACGTACCAAGGCGAATTCGCAATCATGGGCAACGCCCGGTTTTGAACCCTTTGTAGTCCGAAGCCAAGCCCCAAAGTTGGATGCAGTACATCATTCGGGATTTTATAGGATGGAATTAAGAATTTTCATTTTAATATGATTATGAAAAGAGTTCAAGAGTTAACCTCGCATGATGATATGAAAATTTTCACACCTATCTAGAAGGCTTTGCTTTTCAATTCTGCCAAGTTATTTGTGCTGAGAGCTAATTTCATGAGGTTTGTTTAATTTTAATTTTTTATTTTTAATGCCAAACGCAATTTGTAGATATGTCTTCGACCCGCGATAAACTGTACATGTGCACCGAGTGCTTTCAAAGATATCCCTGGAAGGATCTTTCGGAGAAGGAACATCGCTGTTTTCGCTGTCGTCTGGAAACGAAAATGTGCGCCATTTGTGATAGGAAATTCGAGCCTCGTCAGAAATCGCATGTCTACTGCAAACGCTGCGATTTCTACATGCTCACTCATGCAGCAGTTCAGCCTATTCCTGTCCAGGATCCTAATGTAGAGCCAGAGAGGGAAGAACCCTCTTTCATAGAACGCTGGAATGAGATCAAGGCGGCTGGGATTGTGGACGAGTTTTTTGGTGACTGAGATAATCGGGATATCTGCTGTGCCACTCAATTTTCATTGATGAGCTAGGTGCTCAAACTAAATCTGTTTTCAAATAGAGCATCAACATCTTCCCAACAAAAATAAATTTAAGACTTAAATAATGGAATTTCAAACCATTCCTTTAATATATAATTTTGCTTGGTCACCTTTTAATAAACTTAATGCGGCAACTTGGTAATTCCAAGCTTCTTAAATATGTATTAATATACACATATGTTGAGCAATAAAATACAGAATGAAATAAAATATATTTTATTGTAAGCGAATAAAGGATGTTCTTTAGTTAAGTTAATGCCCTTTTTGTGCTTAATTAGTTGCAAAACATGCGCCGCACGAATCGTGCCGTAAAGTAGTAGATAATTTCCGTGAAACTGAGGGCACTGCAGCCCAAGAAAAATCCGACAAGGCCGCCAATGTATACTATAAGTAAAGAGGAAAGTGAAATGCGAGAGGCCTAAGTGAGTAGTCGGAAAAACTGTGCAAGAGAAGACGGAAAACTCACCCAAAACATCGGCGAAGGAGAAGAGGACGTCCCGCCGGAGTTGCATCTTGGGATGTTCCAAAATACCCCATTGGAGATTAGCGCCCAGAAACCAGACACGCGAGCGCTAAAGAAAAGCCGGGAAATATAGAAAATGAGGAAAATATATACAGATAAGCAGATAAGAGAAGAAATGCGAACAACAACATAATCATCATCATCATCAACATCGTGAGCGTACTGGTAACAAGGCAAGTAAGCAAAAATTATTATTAAATGTAAAAACTTTCGCCGCACACAGCGCGAAAAAAAGTTAAACAAAACTTTTGGTTTGCCGCCCCTTTTTCGTACACCTCATCCCTAAAAATAATTGCATATTTCAAGGCGCCCAGTTCCTGCAACTTCTGCGCTTATTATTTTTTATAGCCCCGGACTACAATTTTGATGTTTGTTTAAGGCAAATGCCCCCAAATGTTTCGTTTTCTCCCTCCCTTAGCCCCTCTTGCCTCGGCGGATTTTCCTCAGTTTTCCGGGCATTTTTCCACTTGAAATGCGCGACGCAGCGGCGTCTGCAGTTGCCACTTAACGAGCACTAGATGGCGCTTCTGTTCGCCATAAACATTTTTACAGTTAAAGTTTACTTTATATTTTTTAATAGGGGATTTGCCATTTTTTCATTTATTTTTATTATTATGTGCGATGTACTTACGTAGGATTGCACAAAGAAGTTGGAGTCATCACAGTTGGCCAAACAATTGCAATTGATTTTGTATTTGTCCGATTTCAATGAAATTATCTCGCCTGTTTGAGATCGAATGGGATGGAATTTATTACAAAAAAAGTTAATACGAGGCATTACATGATATTTAAAGGGATTTTAGTATAAATTCTACAGAAAATGTATTTTTAAAAATGACGAGGATGATGGGCATTTCAGTCGATATTTGCATATATTATGAACTTTCCCTCACAACACAAGTTAGGAACCTTCAAAAATTTGTTAATATTGTCCCCTCATAATCTCCTCAAGCTTCTTCGTTCAAAATATTTATCCAGCTTATCAATGTCAACCTGTCCCGATAATCTTCTTTCCCTCGGCAAATTACTTCCACCTTTTCAATTACTCAACAGGTTGTCTATTCCAACCTTGACTTTCGACCATCCCCCGGAAAATTAAATTATGGTCACGTTCTGGGAAATTTCTGTCCATTTTTTCCAGCGACCGAAAAATTTTTAAATCGAATTTCCGGGGCAGGTTAAATATTTGCATGTTCCCGGGGAAGTGGAAATTACTCACGTTTAATTTTGACCAGGCAACCGATGCCCTCCAGCCCGCAAACAGGCAACCTTCGACCATTTCGTACTGGAAAACATAAAAGAAAGAGACGGATGGAGTGCATTGAAGCGAGACAGATAATCGTGCAAAAGTTGCCACTTAAACTACGAGTATTTAAACATTTTACGACCGAATTTGCGCCATAAAACTGGGCAGCTTTGATGCATCCCCATTCACATTCCCATACCCAAAGCGTCCGGCGCATAAAAGTTAACTTTAATGGAGGCCAATTAAGTGCAACTCTGTGTCCCAAAAATATGATTATACCCACAGAGGTTCCGGTAGAAGTGCGGAACGCATCCGCAGACCTGCAGAGCGAAAAACATTCTGCACTCGGAGAGGCAGAGGCCGAAACTATAGATGGGCACCGTCATCATTTCCTCGGCCTCGTAGTTGAAGCGACAGCTCCTTTGTTTGGTGCTGAAACTGCCGGAAAAGTTAAAAATACATTTTAATTTAATTAGTTGTTAAACTAAATAAAAACTAAACTAAAGTTGGTTTTTCATCTATAACACTGTTTTTACAGACTTGAAAGACTTGAATGGTAAAGACAGCCTTAGTACTAAATACACCTTTACAGATTAATAAATTTTAATCCTTCGACTCACGCTCTGGCCTCCTCATTAGTATAGATCTCCAGGGCAATCAGTTCCACTGTGGTATAGTCACTCTCCGGGAAGGTATACCTCTGCTTCGAGATGCTCGGCACATCCCCAGCACCATGAAAATAAACATCGTAGGCCGTCGAAAGGTTGATAATCTGCGCGTAGATCTCGCCATCCAGCGGATGAACTGTGACCCTGTCCCCGTGGTCCAACAGGCTCCAATCTCCGGAACGCCAATAGCTGCCAAGTGGCCAAGGAAAAGCCATCAAATCAGAACGATTTCCTGGCCAACAATTACTCACTCGAAGGAGTTGTAGCGAGCCACCAGCGAGTTGACTGAATGGCAAATCCCAAACTCCGTATGCGTCTCGTATATGAACATTTTGACGGCGGCGCCGCTGCTGATTTCCGGCTCGAAGGCCCATTTCAATTCGTAGAGGAGGTCCAAGTACTTGCTACTCGGAATCCCATACGATTTGTTCAGCGGCAGTGTCTCCAAGTTGTCGTAAGTGAGACTGGCAAGTTTCACAATAAAATCACGGAAATCCTCTTGATCCTCCTCGGACAAGAATTGGTCGGGATGGGCACTGTCAGTGTGTGGCAATAAAAAAGTACACTTTAATTTGATTTTTAAATAAGTTAAATAAAGTTTTTTAAGTAATACATTCTCTTTTTTATATTATTTTTAGCCTTTCAACTTCTTGAATAATTTCCTTAATTTTCTTTATATACATTTATCTATTTATTGCAAAAATTATCAAAATTTCATAGTGACTTAAAACCAATTTAAAGGTGTTAAACATCATAATTTAACCCCGAAAAATATAATAATATTATTCATGAAACACCTCTTTTACTTACAGTATATAGTCCTCCACTTTCAACTCATCGATCCGCTTATGCGGACACACTGTCAGTGATGGAAAGCTCGTGTTCCAGACCAGCTTATTCCGATCCATGGATATAACCATTGGCGAGGTCTGAAAGCGATGCCAGGTTCGCTTGCTCAACGAGATGATGCTGAATAAAGCCACGCAGATGAATGCAAACCAGAGCATGCTAAAAAATATGTGCGAAAAAATCTGAATGAAAATTCCCCAAAAATGTGGCGGAGTCGGAAAATGATATATAGATATATGGAATCGGGGGAATAATTCGCACTGCTGTTGAGTGTGCATTCTGCCGGAGGCCATAAAAATCTATTGCGTGTAAATTTTTTCTGTAAGCATTATGCGAAATATTCGCGACGAAAGAATTATGGCCAAGTCGAAGGAGGAGTCAATGAACGCATCAACGCTTTTGCAACCCTTTGGCTGGCTTTTCCTTCATTTTCTTTCGCCACCAGCAAACTGGCAAGAGTACAGACAGAGGACGCCAAAAATCCTTTGCAGAATTTGCCATTTCAGGCGAATGTCTTCTACAATGACATTTTGATGCCAGCAATGGCTCATAAAGCTTTCAACGCTTTCCCACACACACACACACACCAGCACTCGGCTACTTGGCTTTTAATTTTCCCCAAACATTTTCCAACTCTTTCTTATTTTTGTGTGAAGCTTTCTGCTCATGCGTTTTGGTCTTTTTATTTTATTTTTTGGAATTTTCTTCTCCGACATTTGAGTGTTGTACTTTGTCTAACACCACAGAATTCCTTTTGGACATCGCATATGACAGACTCATTGTCATTTCCATTGCCACAGCCATACCCATTTTCACATTTCCCACTGCCATTTTCCATCTCGTGCCAGTCTGGGCCTGCAATTTATGTATTTGCTTTGTTTCATCATCTCGCCACTCATATGCATAAAATTTGTGCGTGAATGAGGCTCAGTGATGCATGTTTGATGCCAAACATTTCTCGTTTGTAAATCGTGCTCAAGGGTTGGCTTTTTGTTTTCCCTTTTTGGGGATTGGTGGTTTCTTGAATTCCCACATAGTTCCTAGCTGAGGAATGCACTGGAAATGTGTGTGTGATATGGGATTAATAATGTAAAAATGCGGAAATCGAAATTCTTTAAATATTTAATATACAAAATCCTAGGGGAATGAGTTAGTTAAAGTTAAATATCTTATTGATTTCATTCAAAACTGAAGTATGATTATGACTTTTAATTACAATTTCTGAACGCTTTTCCACACTGCTTATGAAATGCAGAGTCGCCTCCAAAGGAATGGGCTTAACCAGTGACAGAGTTCAGGGCACTCGAAAGCCCGATGCCCTGCCATAGATTTCAGATTTCCCCCTCCTGGAAAACATCGTCCTAATCCTGTGCGTCCTGCGCCGCAGCGTGTTTTGCATTTGCATTTGCAGTTTTCGGTTGTGGATTATGCAATCGTGCACCTGTCGCTGCCACCCGAAAAAGGTTGGGTTGGGGGAAATGGTGGGGCAAAAGCCCTCATAGTTACCATATCAACGCTTGTGAAATTGAGGTTATCACATGTCAGCGACACAGACTCTTCCTCTCCGGTTTATGCATTTTCACTCCCTGCTTGTTTTGTATGCGAATGGGGTTCCCTTTCTAACCATTTTTTTTGTGGAAAATGCTTTAGTTTTTGAGGGCGAGGCAGGAAGAGCTTAAGTCGGGTTTTGTGATGGAGTTGTGCATAATCCAGAAATTTGTGCGTCACAAGCTGATTTTTTGCCATGGCAAAGCATATTTTGCCCTTCCAGTTTTCGGATCGCAGGGCGAAATAAATCTAAATTGTGCCAAGTGGAATTGGTCAAAGAAATAAATTTCCCCAGAAAAATGTTTGAAATAAACCCAACAAATCATTTCCATGAAAGCCTTCGGGGGAAGTGTATTAATTAAACCTAAGCTTTGCGTGACCCCCTTTCCTTCCTTTCATCTGGAATTCACCTTTGCTCCTTCCGGGCTTTACTTTCGGGCAACACCTGTCAGTTGGACTGTTTGCTTCTGGTGGAAAACTAACAATAATTGTAATTGAGCTTCATGATTTTGGGGGAGATTTCATAAGGTGCACTCTCAGAAAAAATAGTTAGCAGATGGCTAATGATTTAAGTCTAAATTATCTAAAAATTAGAGAACAGAAACAATGAGAAAGAGATTTCGATTCCTAACTTGCAATTTTAGTTTCTCTTTTTTGTATATAATTTTTGATATACAAATAAATATATTACGAAATAAATATATTACGATATCCTGGCTTAATTTTCCTGGCAGTGCCCGCTTGGCCCTGTCCTTGGCCTGGCTGTTATCCACTAATTAACCCTCAGTCGGCAGTCCTGACAGATTTCCTACCAACCACCGCATCCGCTTCCTTAACTTGTGCCCCTTTGGTGGAGTGTTGCCAATTTAAGCCTTGCCATGGCCAACGCGGAAAAGGGAAAGGTAGCAAAAGCGTCGGAGAATTTCCTCCTTTTTCCTCTCGGAATGTGTGTGTGTGTGTGTGTAATCCTGTTTGTCATGTCATGTCAGTTTTAAGGATTTATTGCACCGCACAAAAATACAAATTCCAGCAACAAAAATATTACTTCAGCCCACAAGATCTACCTTCCCCCATCGACCACACAAAACGGAAGATATGTAGAAAAATGTATTTCGCTTGGAGAAACTTTAAGTGCGGGAGTGGAGGAAGGGGCGGTCTCAGCAAGGACTCTTCCCCTTTGGAGCTGCTCCCTTATGGATCCCAATCGGAATCTCTGCACGTGTCCGCGGTCGCTGGATAGTCCTTTTAAAGTCCCCGACTTATAGTTTTGTATCGTTTTAGCTGGCACTTTATGGTTGCCGAGGGGCAACTATGGTAATCCTGTCTAAAAGTTTAACTTGCGGTTTTTGGTTGTAATGAGGTTTAGCTATAACTTCCCTTGTAATTTAATTGAGTGGAAATGTTAACTGGGCTTACACTGCCGCCTTTAAGGAGATCGAGCTTAAAAGGTATATCATATATCTCAGCTGCTGCTGATTTTCTTGCTTTTTTAAGACATTTCTTAATATTTTTACTATTATAAGAAAAGCAGTTTAAAGTTGGTATAACCCATAATCAACTCTTTAGCAAACATCCGAATTGGAAACGAGTAAACTCATCTTGATTGGTAGTTCTTTGCAAAGGTTGACGTGCGATCTTTTTCCAATTTTCATTTGGCCAGAACAAAACTTGTCTGCTGAGCTCTTAGTTACCATTGTCTGCCCTTCAAAAGCTGATATTTTCCCCATTTCAGTGTTTTCCACTTTGCATCCAAATCCATTGCCCAAATGCAGGCTTTGGAAGTGCCATTCAAATCACAACTCACCGTTCGACGAAATTCAGGCCTAGCTTGGCCAAATAAATGAATCCGTGTATGGAGGAGCCTTGCAGGAACTCGATTATGAAAGCCTGCACTTTGGCCAGGCAGGCACCGTGGCTGTCCCTCGGCTTTTCCCGATCTAGGTCCTGCTTCTCCTCCTCCTCATCGTCATCCTTTTGTGGTGGTTGCCATAGTGGCGGACGACGAAAGGAGCGAATGCTCCTGTTGGGTCCTTGCTGATTAATGGCCACGTTCCCATCATTAGCTTTCGCAATTGTTTTGCTGGCCGTGCTGCCATTTGGATTATGCTGATGTCTTTGCGCGGTGCCGGGAAAAATCAGTAGTCCAGGACCAGGACCTGGTCCCGACCTTCTGGACTTATCCTGCGGCGATTGCAGTGAAGCTGTCGACGAAGTCAACAGCGAGTCCTCGTTTTCATCCCAGCTGCTTCTCCGCGACGTCGATGTTGTAGTCCTTGCCGCTGCTGACGGCGCGCTGTCGTCAATTTTCGGTTGCATATCCTTGGGCGATGTTGCAAGACGAGATTTATGGTTGCAGTTTTAGGAAGTAAGTGGGCAAAGTCTGCGAAGAGGAGAAATTATGCATATATATTTATTTAAGAATACAAATTTAAAGATTTTTTAATACGCTCTTAAGAAGTCGCCAGCTTTACTAGGTAAGTTTTCCATTCTTGGCTTATAAAAGCCTGTAGTAAATCGCCTCCACTTGCCCACATGGTACCCCCAAAGTCCCACGTCAGGGACAACAACACCATAATCGGCTGACGACTGCACTTGCGGAATAAAACACAGCATTACAGCATTGAACATGTGGTGCCAAACACCCCCGTGCACTGATTACAGGACAAACTTCATAATTTGTCCGGCCCACGAGCATTGTAACATGGTTAAGCTCTGATTTTTTATCACCGCTGCCGGTTCATTAAAATATAAATACGTCGCTTTAAATATGTTTTTGCGGTGGCGGTAGGGCAGGACATGGCCAACAAGGACCATAATAAATCATCATCGGAGGTTTTAATGCGCTGTAAATTATGCCTGATGGTGGACGCAGCTCGGCGGGAGTAAATCCATTGGATGACACGAAATGCAATCAATGCGCGAGAGTGTCGCCGAGTTGAATGGGGATCGGATATATCCCTCGGCTGCATCCTCATCCTCATCATCGTCATCGTCATCATGGAGTTGTGGCTGGGCATTAACTTAGTTAAGGATTTTCATTCATGAGTGGCTGACGTTGAAGAGATTGCTATTAAATGGTAATTGGATGGTCCAGATATTAAGGAGATTTTCGCCACGATCAGAGCGGCTTTTGTTTCGATTATATTCGAACATTTTATATTTTAAGGTATTAAAGGAAACCCTTTTCGGTTAATGCTGCTTCTTGTGTAAAATATTTTATGTATTTCATCAGATATTCACGCTGGGACTTGACACCACAAGGTATATATGAATAGAATTCTTACTCGAATGAAAAAGGTTAAAATCTTATAAGGGGGAAACTATTGAAAACTTTCCTTGAATAGCATAAACCTTTTTGATTCCAGACCATATGTATGTATGTAAGCTGATCAGTAAAGAGTCACAGAATCGAACTGTCTACCAATAAGGTCCCCCTGGAGGTAATCAGCAAGATGAGCTGGAACATCAAAGGCTCCACCAGAGTGTCCAACTGCGTCCTTAAAACTGGATTAAAATTTCATTTAAATTTGCATTTAAATGAGCGTCGAACACTCAAAGTAAATGACCCCATTCAGGCCCAGTCCTTTCGGCACGCAACTGGAATCCACTCCACAAGTTCTGCCGGGGACAAAGGTCCAGACGCGAACTTGTGTTTTCCAGACCCAGACATGGGCGGAGTGCCCCTCTTTCAGCCCCATGCACATGGGCAACATTAAAAGGGATTCCTTTTTTGCATTTTTTAACATTTTATTGCGAGTGCGACTTCTACCAGCAGTTGATTACCTTTAGCAGTTGATATCGTTGGGTTTGGCAGAGGGTCGGCTTATTTATATGCACTGCAGCTTAAGCAGGCAGGTCTGCTACTGCCACTCTTAATGGATATTGTTTAAAAATGTAATATTTTGCAATTAAATAAAGGCGTTTGCCTGACCCTTGGCATCACCCGTGGCGACCTCGATTCGAGTCGATTGCCAAACATTGTTCATGGCTTTATTTCTCCTCTTTTTAAGAATGTTCATGTTCGTTGTACTTGCTGCCTTTTTCATGTTAATTAATATTGCAGAAACGCTTAAAGGACATTTTAATTGGCCTTCACTTTGTGGGCCATCCGAATTGTTATTGAGCAAAGAAGTGAATGACGGGATTGGCGGGGGGGAGGAAATTAAATCTGCAGGCTATGAAAATGCATTTAACTGGAGTTGAGATTCCAGTGCCCTATAGATTGTGAAGGAAATTGAAGGGTAAAGTAAAGAAGGGATCGTAAAATATGAGGAAATATCTCACTTTCTGAGGGTTTTAGAGTATAAAATCTGAAGGCGCCTTCTTTAACAGGTATATTTTATAAATATTCATTCAATCCCTAATGCAAGTAGTAACCGCACGTATTTCCTCGCAACCAATTCCGGTCAATTTATTCAGAAACAAATCGATTCCTTTTAGCCATGTCTTAACACAAGCTGGCTGAACCAACATTTGCCTCGAAACTATTGCTGTTCACTCGTTGAAATAACAAATTTTCCAATTTATTTCTTGATTTATTTTCACGCCAATTCCTTGGCTTCTGTGTCCGCCCTCAGCGACATGGCTTGACATTTGTTTATTTATTTGGCTTCATGTTTTGTCTTGTGCCATTCCTCTTCATTGTTTTCCGCAGCTTCTTCGCATTTCCCCCTTTTGCGTGAAATCACGAATGAATGAATGACTGCCCCGGCAAACGCCATGAATATTCATGGGCCATGCCACCAGACCCAACACGAATAACAACGGGAACAGGACCAAACCAAGCCGAGGCTACAACAGCGTTAGGGACGGGAACAAAAACAGGTCCAGGAGCAGGAGCAAGGACTACAACATATAGCTAACTCAGCTTGCATTTCCGCTGAATGCGGCAACAATTCGCAGTGCCATTTCGCTGTCCACGACCAGCAGTTTCTCAAAATACCCTTACCAATCGGCAGGACTTTTAAAGGATATGAACTCGATTGGGTATCATTGATTTGCAGAATTTGTTTATGATGATAATGGTGCTAAAGCCCTCATTGTTTATTTACTCTTAAAGACCTTGACAATATCCTTTGAGAAGCATCAGATAAAGATTTTTAACATCTTTGAATTGAGGCATTGAAAGCTAAACCCTTTCTTTAAAAACTCCATAAACTATGTTCTTAAGTTGAGTTCTAATATTAACTAAACTTTTTGATATCTTTTCACAAGTTGAGAAAATTTTAAGTTTCTCAAAATTTCACCAAGCATTTCGAGCTCATAAACTCTTGTAGAGCCTCTACAATTCGTTGTGATTTCTGAATTAATATCCTTACTCCTTTGTAGACGCTGCTATTTGGCTGCAATGTGTTTGTGTGCTCGCAGATGTTTCTTGGCAAGATGCTGCAAATTGTTTGGGTTTAGTTGTTGCTCTAGCTGCAGCCAGTGTTATTGTTATTTGCACTATTCGTGCAACAGTGGCTTCGAGTGGCTCGGTGGTGCTCGGTTGGTGGTTGATGGCTCTTGGCTGTTCGCTGTTGGTTGGTGGTGTCATGAGCAGCCAACATTTTGCGGCTGCATGTGCAACAGTTTCTTGCCCGCCCGCAAAAGTAGGCAAGGCTTTTTGCTTCCGCATCGAACAGCAGGAAATTTAATTAAATGCACTTTCTCACTGCCATTGCGAAAATGTTGTGGAGATTTTTTCGGACGTACCGCAGATTTACCTTTACCGTCACTGTTCACTGTTCCCTGGTCACTGCTCTCAGTTAACTGGTCACTGTTGGCCAACGAAGCGTTTTGGGTTAAATGCAATCAGTCGACCGCCTGCACTTGACTTTTGTTAAGGGCTCACACAGAGAGAAATCAGAATGTGTATTTAGTTTGACTAAATGGAATTGGAACTAGGATTAATAGCTGGACAGAACTTTCAGCTTGATCTACTTCATACATATGATAAAATTATGATTAATTAATATTATGAGGTGAAGCAAGGTAAGCAAGGTGGCAAAATCACTGTAACTTTACAAATATATAAAGAAAACTCCAAATTATATAATGTACTAATTAATAAATCATTTTTCCCTGTGCACTTCTCATGAGAAACTTGGCAGCTGCTAGGCGATTTAGGATTTGGTCACTCGTTCTCGGTTTGGTTACCCTTTGGACAATTTGGCATTTGTGGCTCAAAACACGTAACTCTGGTTCCGATTTCGATTCGGTTCTGCCGGCGATTGCTGATTGTGTTGTTCTCGCTCAGATTGTATTGATTTTCCCGGCACGCTAATTACTGGCACTGAGTGGAAGGAGGAGAAAAATCAGAAAAGCCACTAGTGGGTGGCAGTTCGTTGGGTAATTGTGGTCGGATAACATTTCAAGATGGAAATCAAAATGATTTTTTGGGAATATTTAAGCTAAACTACTCTGTTTTGTTGTTAAAACAAAAATATATTTTATTCTCAAAATAAAATGTATCTTATGATAATACTTCTTTCTAGTCAACTTAGAGAAACATTTGATGAACAAAACTTCTTCTGTCACTTTTAAGCACCCAAATAAATACAAATTTTATGTTATTTATGGCACTCCCATGAATCACCACCCAAGTTCTCGATTCGCCCAGCAATAATCCAATCAATTTGATAACGCTAAATTAATCATATCCCTGCAGTCGATGGAAGCTGCTCCCCCATATATAATTTTCAAACGAAAAGCACAGCCATCCACTCTATTCAGCGATGTTTCAACATTTGGTCTCGATAATGGGGCAAACACACAAAGTTGGACCATTGGGGTGGGGTGATCCCGCCCCTTTCGCCCTTCGTGGTTCTTTGATTTTGCATTTAAGTTGCCTTGCCATGGGATGAATCAAACGCAAAGCTTCTCCCTGCACTGCAGCTGTATAAATTTTACATTTGTTTCCTTTCAATTTAACAATGTGTACTTTTGGTATTGTTTTGCTTTTTAGCGTGCAAAAAGAAGTTCGAGTGGTTCGGGGATTTCCCTCGTTTGGCCGTTTCTCTTTTCGTTCGGTTTTTTCGCCTGATTTCGCAATATTTATGATTAGCAATTTATTATTCATCATTTTCGAGTGTGCAAACAGAGTCAAGAGGGGGAGTAGGACGGTGAGTGGGGCAGAGCAGAGCCATGATGGGCTGTAATAACTCTTGTGAAAAATATCGAAGGTTGGAGGCAGGCTTTGCCCCACCATTAACTTGCACTTAATTTGATTAACAAAAGCCGATGTTTACATGCCCCGAATGCGATGGAAATCTATCATAGCTCAACTCAATGAAAACTCGAAGGATTTCCCTGGGAGGTTTATATCAGTGGGCGAG